TGAACAGGGTGATCACCTTCCTCCTCCTCACAGAACAGGAGGTGGAATCAGAGATCAGAGTTCCTGGCTGATTCCTCCTCCAACTCGTGCTGTCCATATTTTCATGAACACGTTCTTGACCGCGGAAACCTGGATCACACCGCCAGGAGGGGAAGGAAAGGACTTGCTGTACTTGAGACACTCCAGCTCCATTGTGAGGAGAGAGTTCTTGTTAAATACGAGGCTGTTCCCTTGAAAGAACAGCAGGAGCCTTTGCCTCTCCAAACACCATCCCAGACCAAGTCACACACCTCCTCACCGAAGCCTGGCTCTAAGCTGCCTTTTCCCACAATTTCAGAGCTTTACAGTCAGCGTTCCTCATTTTCCATGTCATTAATCTCCACGGGCCTCAGTTCCAAGCAGGCTGGAGGCCAGGTCCTGCCAGACAGATTTCAAGTGAAATCCAAGTTGTCTGGAAAAAAAAAAAAAAAAAAATCAGCTAAAAATGTGAAAAGCACGTGAACCATCAGCTGCTGCCCAGCAGGGCCAGGGGGAGGCTGCCCAAGCACACAGATGGCTTGAGAGGCAATCAGAGAACCTCTTTAGAGGCAATCAGAGGACTTTTCCAGCAACCAACCAACCACCAACCAACCAAATACTGGTTGGGTTAACATATTTTTGTTATTTTGCCTGGGAAAAAAAAGACTGGGAGAATATTTTTAAGTTTCTCAATTAGGATTTTCTTGCTTTGAGAACTTCCATGGAGCATTGCAAGCCAATACATTTTTCAGAGCATATTTTCACAGTGATTTCTTTCTCATCTCCTCCTTTTGGCCTTTGTCTGAGCTGCTCTGCCATGAAGCTCCAGTTCCCCAAGGTCCAAGAGCTGAGGAAGAGGCAGACAAGAATTCCTTCAGATGGGGAGAGGGAAACACAGAAAACCAGTCCTGCAGTGGGATAAGGGGAAAGGAGAAAACTCTCTTTCATGGACATCTCTAAGAAGTGTCTCGCAGACACCAACACCACGAGCAATTCCGACCCTCACCTCTTGTTCCGCAGATGACACAGAGCTTGCCATCTTTAGGGCATCTGCCATAAATCTGGGATTCTAGGCAAGAAGTCCACCTGCTTTTGGGAGGTCTTTTGTTCTCAGGGACTTCTTTCTGGCACCTCCACCCTGACAAGATGGCCCTCGGGGTTTTGGCGTGGGATTTGTTCAGCCTCTCCATTGACCCTTGATCTCATGCCAGTGCCACTGGGATGCCCCTCTGGCAGGGCTGGCTCCTTGCAGTGCTGCGCGGGTACCTGCTGCCCGCCCTGCTGATGAACTGGGGAAGCAAGCTGCTCTGGATTGTAGAATGTAATCATGGCTCAGTGTTTTCAGGCTAGTGGGAGGCTGTAGGCCACGAATCCCCGTGGCTGCATGTTATATTTCTCCCTGCAGAAACAACTGCTGACATGGTTCAGCTAGAGGAGTTTCATGGCGCTGCACCAGGAATAAATTGCTAAAAAGAGCAGCAGCACCAGCGTGCTGAGCCGGGATCCTTCAGAACAGGAGCTTTGGCACACTGTGGTGTGATCCATAGTGCCAGCCCTTGGAGCAAGGCTGGGATGCACTTTGGAGGAATCCTAATGGACTCTGCAGACACTTTGCTGCACTGCTGCATCGCTCTTCCTCCCCCCCGGCGTCCTCCCAGGCCCCTTCAAAACAGAGTTTGGAAGCAGCCTTGTGATGCTTAAGTCCTTAAGCCCTGCTTTTCTCAACTCATAAAGGGAACCAAAAGGAATTGTTTTGAAATAACAGTGCAAATCAAATTACCCGTCACAGATAAGGGGGAGAGAGGTGAAATATGAAAAGGCTTTAGATGAAAGAAGAATTAGCCTGCAACCCACAAGGAATAACTCAATTCAAGTCTCATTTTCAGCACCCCCAGAATCTGGCGCACCAGAGGTCCCTAATGAAGCCCAGCAGATAAACCTGGCCAAGGCAATTTGTTACAGCACTGAACACAGAGCCATTTCACCAACCACATGCTAAGCATCAACCGTCGCATTAAATGGGAAAAGTATATCAACCTATTAGAAGCCATCATCAATCAGTGCAGAGGAAACCAAACCGCCCTTATTGGGTTCCAGCCATGGGAAGCCACGCTGTGGTTTGTGCTCACAGACATCCAGCAGCCTTGTGAGCATCCTCCCATGCTGCATCCCCCAGGCGTGGGGTTGAGGACCTGCAGATGTCCCCAACGGAACCTGGGATGGAAAGGGATGGAGGCTGCAAGGCTTCTCCTCTTGGCTGCAGCAATATCAGCCCAGGATTCCTCAGACTTGGCAGGGTTACTGGTGCCTACTGGGCAGGGGGGATAGGCAGGGACCCTCCTCAGCGCTGGGACCCACCTGGTTTGTAAGCAGCCCCCAGATCCACACGGATTCCTGCCGAGCCTACTGATGGGCAGCTGCTAAGCTGAGCTGGCTGCGTTATTCACGGGGATTGGGAGGATTGCAGAAATTGCTCTGTGCAGTGGGGAAGGAGGGATTTTGTTTTTCTTCTCCGTCAAACTAAAACACGTAATTGAAGAGTGAAATTTGGAAAGCTTTCTCAAGGACTCTAGATATTTAATCCGCTTTAAAACACGGGAATTGCTCCCCGTTCTCTGCCTTATTTAATGGGAAACAGGTCTCTTGCTCCCGCAGCCCTTCTGTAACTGCTGACCGTTTGATAATTCTGCCTTGACACAAAGACAAATGCACTGTGCTGTCTGTACATGCATCCCCAGATCCTCCCAAATAAAATAAAAGGTTATTTTTCCTTTAACATATATTGAATTTGCAGATTCTAAACCTTTCCTTTCATGAACAGCAACTTAGCAGAATGGAGACCACAAGGAGCAGAAATTGTGGCTTCAGCACATGCTCCAGAGCTGCTCTCCTTGCACATACGGAAGATGCCTAGGCAGTGTGCCATCATCCCCAGGTGGCTTCCCAGATTTCTACACAGAGCCATAGAGCAGTCATTTAGGGTCTATGTCCTTTAAGATCAGGAAGTCCAACTATTAAATTGACTTACTGAGTCCTATGGCTCTTGGTGCCACAACCACATCTCTCAAATACATCAAAGACTCCCATCACCTCTCTGAGCAGCCCCTTCCAATCCCTGACCACTCTCTCCACAAAGAAAGTCTAACGTCCAACCTAAACCTCCCCAATGCAACTCGAGGCCATCTTTTTCACATCCCATTTCCTGTCACCTGTGAAAAGAGACTCCTCACCTATCCTTATAACCACCAAAGAGAAATCCCACAGACAAACCCAGCGAGTCCCCACAAAATACAGAGATGATTGCTTTTTTTTCTCAAAGCCCGTAATTAGTTCTTCTGGACTTGCTTCTTCTCTGCTGAAACTTTTCATTAGCACAGCCTGGGAGAGGCTTTATTTGCACAGCCATGAAATATGAATATATTCTCAGCAGGAACTGTTTGTGCAAAGTTTGCTGTTGCAAAACAGGGCAGACAGTGGCTTCCCCACAACCTATGGAGATTTCCCTTTTATCTCTCACTCAGTTATTAGAACATACCTAGTGGTTGGCAATCCAGCTTGCAGTGGGGGGCTGAAACCTGATGATCCTTGAGGGGACCTTTATTTAAAGCACAGTCTTGACTTCCTCTTCCTCCTTTAAAGAAAATCAGGTGCCGCTGGTCCCATGGACACCAAAGGAGGCCCTGTCACAGACTGTCCTCCAAAACTCCAAACCCGGCCCTTCTAAGAATCCTCCCTCCACCATCCCAGCTTGTTGGGTCTCAAGCCCATCACTCAGCAGTGGGCATTTATGAGAGCCCAAAATGCACATCTGGCTTTGCAGAACGAGACCTGGGGCTTCTTAAAACATTAACAGCTTCTGATGGGCATGCTGCACCCATACTGAAGATGTATGTGAGCATGCTTCACTCTGCCATCTCCAGCCCTCAGCCCCAGGGCCAGATCACCCCATGGTGGCAATCTGCAGCTCCTGAGGCCCTTCCCACCTTGCTGTGAACTCTGGAACGCTGTTCTGAGGGCTGCCCGCCAGGGCAGATGGCATCAGGCTTGTTCTGCAGCAGTTTGCATATGATGGATCTCTACATTCTGCAGATGTAAATGAGCCTCAGCTCAAGCAGGAGCCCCAGGGACTTGGACATCCATCCAGAACAAAAATCATCCCAACAATGAAAGTATGAAGTGCACGGTCTGAAGTGCAGCTTGCCTTGAGGTCAGATGATGCTTCTGCTGATGAGTGGGGAAACAGGACTTTGGATAATTCAGAGAGCTCCAGACACAAGAAGAAAAAGAGAGGCTAAAAGAAAGAAAAAAGGGTGAGTCTGCTGCACGCACTGAGATCCTCAGCCCTGCTCCTGGGGAAACCCGTGAAGGAATCACAGGATCATAACATGGCTTGGGTTGGAAGGGACCTCAAGGATCATCAAGCTCCAACCCCCCTGCTACATGCATCCAGGTCCTCCAAGACAGGATCCTCTTGAGAGTGGAGCCACTCCCAAAAGCCAGCCCTCGTCAGCTCCTCTCTCCCAAAGGACGACGCACCTGTGGTTTCATTTGCAGTGAGTGAATGGGACGTGCCACGATCCTGAAAATGTGCTGTGGGACTGCATGGATGCACGGCAGCTTTCACAGAGATCTTTTTTTCTTCTTACAGACTCTGCACGCAGATGGCTGGAAACAGAAAGGAGACTGGGCAGAAGCTGCAGCAATTCTCTTTGCATGGATATCATGGTATACACCTGGATATGAGCGGATCAAACATCACAGAATGGTCTGGGTTAAAAGGTGCCTTAAAGCCCATCAATTTCTAACCCCCTTGCTGTGAGCTGGCTGCCTCCCACCAGCTCAGGCTGCCCAGGGCTCCATCCAACCTGGCCCTGAGCACCTCCAGGGATGGGGCAACGGCTCTCTGGGCAGCCTGTTATGATGTCAAACACGAACCCGAAAGCATCGGATGAAAAAAAAGATCAGGCACAGAAACAAAGGTGTTACTATAATTAACTTTTTCTTTTTATTTACACCACAAGAATAACAAGTTGTCATAATGTGGTACAAAATACTGGACTCCTAATAAAGTTGAAATTGAAGTCGGTACTGTCAGAGAAAGACACCATTGGCCAGTTAAAAAAAACAAAACAAAACAAAAAAAAAAGAAACCAACAACAACAACAACAAAAAACCCCACGAAACCAAAAAGAGAGAAAAGAGGAAAAAGAAAAAATAAAAAAAAAAACAAGCAAAAACAAGAGTGAGAAAAATATTCCAACTCCATCAAGTAAAACAAAGGACCATCAGAAAATTTAGCACAAAGAATGCTACCATCACTCAAAGAAGGGTCCATACAATAAGAGTGAAATTGTGTCTAAATTACAGCGTAAACCGGTAGCTGCTACCAATGGTGACGTCATACTGAGCATGTATAGGTATAAAGTAGAATATAATATAGTTACAACTTTTTGATACTACATATCTGTAATAAGCTCTCGGGTGAATAATGTTTCAACCCCTCCCCCCACTTTTATATATATATTATATATATAAGTTTGTCATCCTCATAAATTGGAAAATAGCGCCTCCACTATGGAGCACAGAAAAGTGTTAATTTATTTTCTTTCAATAGGATACTTTTTCATCAATATCAAAGACAAAGTGAAGATGAGCTGAGAACGAGCTCAACTTCGTGACAATGAAGAAACATGATTTTCCTTTCGATGTAAAGTCTTGTTTTAAACCACAGTGTTGCACAGTACACGACTGCTTAAAGTGAAACCTAGCAAGACAGCATGTAAAAGTAATTGTAAAAAAGTTAACACAGCTGTGCTGCAGAGTTAACTCCTTAAAGTCCTCGTCATTCATCACCTCAGAATTAATGACTGCGTGTGTTGACAAAGGGTTGCATCCGACCTCCCCACCCAGCCAAGAAATCAAAATAAAATACCCAACCAAATTAAAAAAAAAGAATAATAATGACACAGGCAGCTAACTTTGTGTGTTCTGCGTAGCTTCCCTAAAAACACTGTTTCCACATAAATACAATAAACTCTATTACTGGTAAGTCACAAGTGCTAGATAAACGTCTTTTTCTTCTTCTTAAAATGAGAAATGTTTAAGTAGTCCTTTTTAACTCTTTCTTAACAACAAAAAGCACGATCTCTTAAGTTCACTGAGACGTGACAAACGTTTCCCACTCTCCTTCCTTTGCGTGTGTGTGTGTGTGGGTGCGGGTGCGTGCGTGTGACAAAAACGTCCCAACCTCAGTCTCCGCAAATGCCACGAGAGGAAAAAAACAACAGGAAAAAAAAAAAAAAAAACAACAAAAGAAGGAAAAACAAAACAAAACCAAAAAAACAACGCAGCTTTTTTTTTTTTTTTCTTTTTTTCTTTTTTTTTTTCTTTTTTTTTTTTTTTTTCCTCCGTTTTCAAAGCTGCCAAGTTTGGCGTGCAAAATCTGTATACAATATAAAGACATGCCAACCTTACAGACCATGCAACCTCAAAGTGTAGGAAACTTAAAAAAATATATTCATATATATTTATATATATATTTATATATATCAATGCCCATAAAAGACGTGGGCCCAAAAAGTTTACAAAAGGAAGAATGGAATGAATACATGACCGAGACTAATAAAAAAGGAATGTTCCGTATCGAAAGTAAAAAACAAATGGTTACTCGTGTACTGCCAGCCATGCCGGCGGGGCCGTGCCGTGACACTGGCACCCGAAAGGAAGAAGCTGTAGGCTCAAAAAGGGAAAAATGCCTCAAAACAAGGGCTCCTCCTCCACAGTGCTGCCCAGAGCTGGCCTGGGCCACGGGCACAGCTTGGAAGCGGATCCACGTGGGCTGGGATGGGGAGGAGACGAGCTCCGGAGCCTCGGGAAGCCCTTCTCTCCTTGGGCAGGCTCAGAGAAATGATGGCAAGAAACAAATGTGGCATCCTGAAAGCCATGGGAGGCCGGTTTTGTAAGAAACCAGCCCGGCACGGCCGGCTCTCAGGAGCGCAAAAAGGTTTCGCCCCAACGGAGAGTGGAAATACAAAACCGCCAGGAAGATCTGACAACAGAAATGCTCATGTAAACGTGGTCACTGCCCACAGCTCAGAAACGGCCAAAGGAAAATGGAAAGTCAGTCACCAGATCCTGCGGCCGGGTTGAGTTTAGATCACAGCAGCAAAGTGGTCATTGGAAAAAACAGCGCCTGTGGGCACGCCGTGCGTCCGCACGGGAAAGGCTGCGTGCAGAACGCGCCGAGGACGGTCCTAGTGACCAAAGCTATTTGTGACTTAAAAACGTACTTGGGTCTGCAAAACTCAAATACAGTAGTGTCTGGTTTTTCAACTGCATTATAAACCGAGAAACAAAAAACAAAAGCCTCTTGCATTTGCTCACACGTATGGTATGCTTCAAATTCCTTCCACAAGCGAGTCTTGAACGGAATGAAAACAGCCCCTTCAAGAACTGGAAAAGAAGTTACTAGAAATGACCCTGTTGGTTCTCCTAAGAACAGAATAAAAGAAAAATCTACCCTTGGTTGTTCAGACGAGGGATCTGTGCTATCCTACGCTGCTGCAAGAAGGTACACTCGCCAATCTGGTCTCCTCTGAGCTGCTCGCCTCTTCCTTGAGCCAGGGATGAGGGGCTGCTCCCAGGGCCGCGTTCCAGCTCGGCTTGGAGAAATCGCTCAGGAAACAGTTCTTCAGGCAGCTCGAGTTGCAACTTCTTCAGAAAGAAGGGGAGAGGGGAAGAGCACGTGGGGTGTGTGTGTGTGTGTGCGTGTCTGCGTGTCCGTGTGCATGAGAGAGAAGATGCCAGCTGTCCCACGAGTGTCTGACAAGCTTTCCGTATGATAGCTACTAAAGCCGCGTGGAATCCTCACTACAATCCACATGGAGGATAAATACGTCACCCATTGTAATACTACTATGTTGAAGGTAAGAAAACTCCTTATTTTCTTTACAGAGCTACTATAACAGAACTGAGGAAATATACAGTCGGCGGTATTATACAAAAGAGCTCATTGCATTCCCTCCTCCTCGGTAAACGCACGCCTTCCAAAAATAAACTCTGACAATCTGCAACAATTCCTTACGCCTGCAGAAAGCTGCTCACTGTACAAAAGACTTAAAGGGGGAGGAGAAAAGGGGGGGGGGGGGGGGAAGGGAGGAAAGAAAGAAAAAGAAAGAAAATAATGTACAAGCAAGAAAAAAAATGGGAGGAGAAAGGTTTGGACACTATTGCCATTCGGAAACAAAACCTGCCAAATAGAAAACAAATGTCAGATTCACACAAACAAGGCTTCTGTAGGGTTTTGTGAAATATCGATATAAAAATCAACAGCAAATTCATAGTCTTTGCTATAAAAAACTCATTCTTTTTTCTTTTTTTTTCTTCTTCTTTTTTTTTTTTTTTTTTTTAGAAAAGGATCGTAACTAAAAACCTTAAATTAAAATACAAATGTTTAGGGTAGTTGCCCAGTGGCTAATGTGTTGGCAATCCGAAAACTTTCCAACCTGTTGTCCGAAAGTCCTCAAGTTTCTACCTGGATCCTTTTCCAAAAGCACCTTGACATTCCAATTCACAAATCTGTCCCTAGGGAACTTTCAATGGCTACTGTTATAGTATGCATTTATTACATATATTTTTCTATAAATGCATTATAAATATTTTATCAATAATTCATAGGAATCCGGTTTCTAAGCTTGGAATACATTTGGAATATACATTATACACATATATATATTTATACCTAACAATTTAAGCAATATCTCATGCTAGTTGCTTTTAATAAAAAGCATTCCAGTCTTAAACCTGCATTTGTGTCTAATACATGCTTCAACAACCAAATTGATAAGTTCAATTACTAGATAATGTAGAAGAGAGAAAACGTTTGAAAATTTGATTTTAAAAATGGTTGAATTTCAAAGACCCAACAGTATTTGCCACTTTCTTGGCAACTACCTTAATTTTTTCTTTTTTTTTAGGTTTTTTGTTTTTTTTTTTTTTTTTTTTTTTTTTTTGAAACAGCAATGAAAGAAAACAAAACAAATCCAAACTTGTAGACAGTTTTTGGAGACGCTCTGTTCAGCTGATGCCTGCTTCCCACCATCATGCCAGCACAAGCCAAAAAGTCTTCCTTCCTGATGGCAGTTCTTGGCTTTCCAACCAGAGGAAAAATATTCACGAACTGCTGCGTTTTCTTTTTTTTTGTGTTTTTTTTGTTTTTTGTTCTTTTTTGTGTTTTTTTTTTTTTTTACTTAAGGCATTGTTCCTCAAACTTCAAAAATCCAGCTGCACCATATCCATCAATTAAAAAAAAAAAGGCACAAACTCATCTTCAGATGGCTTTGGAGACAATAAAGCCGACTCCATCTGGGCTACCGTTTCCTTTTCTGCGTTTCCCCCCTCTCTTTCCCTTTCCTTTAGATGTAAGACTAGTCCTCTTTCCCTGTCCCTCCCCATTAAAAATACACCATCTCACATTGTTCTGGTTTCGACAATAGCGTCGTTGACTCACAGGCAGGCAAGAGCCATTTAAAAAATCCAAGAAATGAAACTACAAGATGGGTCAAAGTGGTTCAAGCGGAGATTGCTGAATTGTGGGTAATCAAATTGTAAGCACCAGTTTCACGTTAAGGTCTGTCTGTTTTATTTTCACGTGTGTTGTTGAATCTTTGACTTTTTGGCAACTCTGCCAAAGACTTCAAGGGCGTCGTTCCCCTTTCCACTCCCGGTGAGGACCAGAGGAAGAGTGCCCAGCGTTGTCAGTCCTTTACTGCTCTTCACCAGCATTTTTCATTTTCAGCAAATATATACTGTAGACGCGTATAGATATGGAGAGATTTTTCGGTTGCTTTGCTTTACACCTGGTTGTCCTTCTGTATTCTGGAAAAAACCATGACAGGACGCAGGAGTAACAAGAGAAAGCTTCTTGGCAGAGCTTCAAGACGAAGACAAACAAACAGGAGAACTCCAGCTCGAAGATGAATGCTACAGGGGAGGTTCCTCTTCCATGGGTTCATCATCGGGTCTGAGCAATTTCACAGCCAGGCAGGGAGGGAAGAGGGAGGAGAGAAAAGATGGTTGAGCACGAGAGCCGGATAATTCGTAGCGCTAAATCTCACACCTTATATTCCTATCACCTTCCCTGCAGGTAATTTTGCTCAGCTGGCTCACCTAGAATTGAAATTTGCCTCCAAAAAGGTTTTTTTCAAACAAAGTGCTTCCACTGTGCAACTCTGAAATTTTTGCAGCAAACTTTATTTCCTCTCATGGTCCAAAAACACATTCTGCTCTGACTGGAGCACAGGGATCAGGCAATGTGTGCACAGCACTAAGGTAACATCCGGGGCTCATGCAAGTGAACTTCTCTTGCAGCCCAGGTCTTTAGAGAATGCACGAAAGGAAGGAGATGGGTGAACGCATGTGCAATGGGTAAAAGGCGAAGATTAACCCAGTAGGCTGCCCCCAAGGCCACCCGTGATGACAAAAGCAACTCACCGCTTCTCAGCTGGCTTCACGCCTACCGACAGAGATGCCATGGCTGTCACTGTCTCAGCCTCTTCGTTCTCACACTTCTGTGCCTCAACCAGGGAATAGCCCACTGTGGAGGCATAGCGCTGGAGTGAATGCCAATACTTGCCTGGGGAGAGGTGAGAAAAGCAGCAGTTAGGTCCCCTGCATCAGGATGGGTCAAGTCACCTGTTCAAAGAATCACAGAATACATGGGTTGGGGACCTTAATGGGATCACCCAGTTCCAACCTCCGGCTGTGGGCAGGGCTGCCATTCATAGGTCAGGCTGCTTACAGCTCCACCCAACCAACCTTCCTATGTCCAGTGATAGATAGCTGAGAACTGACTGGGGAGGACACACCAGGCTTACGCAAAACGCAGTCTTAAGCCATACTTGCTGCCACTTCCAGGCCTGCCATGAGGCCCCTGGGTATGGAGGGAACTTCTGGGGGCACAGCCAAGGGAAACCCCTGGGAACCTTCCAGGCTTGGTAAGTGGTGAGACGGATTCCTCTCTCCTGCTCACAGCTCTCTGTCACGAGCTCTGATACAGCAGGAGATCATCGCTGACCCTTATGGTCAAGTAGGCTGCTTGTGAGAGAGGCTGCTCTGCTCTCTATGCAGAAAAATCCAATTTATTTTCTACACAATTTCAAAAGCGACATCCAAGAATTGCCAAAACTCCTACTTCTTGCCACATATTAATCAATGGTGCTGCAATTCTGCTGTGTCTTGAAGACCTATGTTTTGAATAAATGTTTGTCTTGTTTTGTTATGTAGGCAAGCATACCATCAGCAGGACGTATTTCAGCAGAAAACTGTGTAGCAGGACAACCAAGGTATTCCCTGTTTATAAGGGGTAAAACCCGTGTTCATAAAAAAGAACTAAAAATGGAGGAGGGAGGCTAAAGTAACAGATTTCCACAGCTGGAATCACACAGGAAGAATGGAGACATAACAGCTCTCCTGGGCTGAGATATTTTTTGTAGGGGAAAACATGCTTTAATAAAGCATCTACAAAAATGAACCAGTTCTCTCCCCCAAAGACAACCAGGATGACAAATCAGGGCTGAATCACTGGCTTGCAATGAAAGAAGCTCTTCTCCTTTGGCTATGGAAGAAAGGTGACCTGACGGTCTTACTTAAAACCCCTCTTCCGAGTTGCTTTGCTCAGTTTAATGGAAAAAAAAAGAAATGCCACTAGTTGACTCAAGGTGTCACATCGCTGCTGAGCATTTTGAGTCAGCAGAGTGGCTGCTGGAAATGGAAATGAGATTTCTAAAGCTACCGGGCACTTCTGAGGGGGGGAAATCATTTGGCCTTTTTTAAGCTCTACTTTATTCCTATAAAGAGGAGACTAGCCTCCCTCCAGTTCTACACCACAAGTGTTTGAAGTGGGAAGATGTCAAGACCTAGCACAGTGGGATTCCCATGTTATTCAGACTCTTTTCACTCCATTCCTCAAGAATATCCCCAGGAAACCTTTAACCACAATGATTTTAATCTCAACTAAATAAACCCACAATATTAGCAGTTTCACGCAACGTTCTTTCATCCCTATCCACTCTTCACTAATGAATGCAACAATGCATGATGAGACTCGTGTTAGTCAGAGATACTTGAATTGCTTCTGAAGATATAAGCACCCACACTGAAGAGTAGGACAGTCTGTCCTCTACAGTGATTTTAAAGGTATTACTGCACTGGCTTTAATACTAATTCCCCCAGTGAGACCAGAACAACCTGCTCAATGACCAGGGTGCCTCCCAGCTTGCTTTGCCTTCCTGAACACAAACTTCTGCACTTAACAGCTTAAACTTGTGCCAGCCAAGCAGCGGGCTCTGCAGAAAAAAGCACTGATACAGTCCTCTCTCAAGAGCCAAACTACCTCCCTGAATTGACTTTTAACCCTGTGCACCGCTCAATAAATTACTGAGTGTACAGTAAGACCAGTTGGTGGTTGCTTAAATCCAGTCCACAATGCAGTGACAATCCACAAAGTAGGGTGAGGGTACGCAGTGGTCTGAAGTTGAACACGGAGCTGCCAGGACAATGAAGAATTGGAATGGGTATCCTCCTAAGGGCAGCCCAGCAGGGAACCAGCTCTGTGAATGGGCTTTACTCACTGTGTATCTCAATCACTTTCTCCATTGAATGCACCGCATTAGCATTTGCTCTCTGCTGGAGAACCTTTTCTGGAAGAGGGTCGAGCTGGAGAGGGAGAGGAAGAATGAAGAAATGTTATCTCAAGCTACAGACGAGGCATTAAGCGTGATTTAGCAAACAGCTCTGCCACATTAAGCTTTCACCCCATTCCTCTGATTCCTATTATCTGCCTTTTGTTAAATATCCAAAATAGACAGACTTCCTAAGCGCTCCTGTGATATTCCATGCAGCCTCCCCTGCCCCAACACTCCTCCACAAGCACAAAATGCTGCAGCCCTGGATGGAGACTGTTTGCCATGAGCAGAAAAATAAGGCAAGTGCTGCTGTCTGTTCTCACACCGTGTAAGACTAGGGCTCCGCACTGCCTTGTGCAAAGGTTTCACTATTAATAGTGTGAAAGGAAAATAAAAGTAACTGAAAAATACAACAATGACCACACTTCTTTCTTTCCTCTGAAGAAATAAAAGGGGAAGCTTTTTCATTCCTCTGCATTTACTGACTCAGAGAAGCAGCCGGTTTTCTCACTTGGTGTGCCTTCTCTCTCTTAAAGAGGACTGTCTTCTGAAAAGCTGACCTGTCCTTTTTGCCCTTCAGGAAGTTATTAAACCTTGTGTTGTTGGTATGATGCCTGCCTCGATTCTCATTGGCCAAGAAGCAACAAAAAAAGCCCCAACAACACAGCTATTACTACACATTTTTTTCTCTAAACTGCTGAAGAATATCCTAAGATACACCCATGTGGCTCCTGCCATCCTTTGCAAAGAGCAGCAGCATTTTAACACTGTGCAGGCATGGCTCTAAAAGCAGGCAGGAGCTGGGGCTTCCTCCCTCCGCAGGAAAGAAGCCAGATCTGCAGTCCGGATATATCAATTTATATTAAAAAGAAGAGAATATAAATAATTGAAAACTTTAAAAAGAATCTTCCAAGGGAAGGAAACTGGGTGATGTTGTGTAGAGCACCAATTTGCAATGGCACAGCAGAGATGTCTGCTTGGTAGGTGAGGATGTCCAGCAGGCAGCTCTACTTGGCTCACATATGTGCCTGATGGCTGGAGCCCTAGACATCTCACATCTCAGTGCTCAAGAAAAAAATTTCAGCTGAGTCGATTTTCTCCAAACCCTTTTCTTTTCTTCTCCCCCTTTTTTTTCCCTCCCCTTCTTCTCCACGAAGAACACACACTCATCACAAAGCCGAGTATCCAAAACAAGAAATGCTTGCAGCTGTTGACTGTGTCTGAAAATATGCACCAGTGCTCATCCGAGGGTCCTCCTCAACAAAGAAGCAGTCACAGTTTAATAGTTAATAAAAACTGTGGCAAAGTTTAACTGCAACTTCTGACCAAAGCCAAGACAAGCTCCAGCCAAGAGATCTGCTCTCGCGACCAGATGGCAGCCATCTGATAGGTGCTCCATCAGGGCTAGAAACGGCTCCGCTCCAGATTTAATAATTACGGATTGCACTTCTAATAAATTCTTTACTCTAAAAATAATTCTGGCCAACGCTAGCTTCTGTATGACATTAAGTGAAGGCGAACGCTATTCCTGGACAAATCTTTAGTAAGAGCTTCCCAGTGCCTTTCGGTTAATGCTGACATAAAGCACACAACACCAGGCAGCTTAGCCGTGTGCTATTTCACAGATGAATCATTTCCACCGTGCAGCACTCCTCCTGAAACAACACTCACAGACAACAGCCTCACTCATCGCTCACTCGGAAAAGGAAGAAAATACCTCTGAGCATTAGGCAACGTTTTTAAACAACTGCTTATTATCACCTCCCTGTTCATTCAGGATGTCCAGAGTCTGACACTGGACACATCTCTGCTGCTCGTGCATGAAAAATGGCAGTCTTTGCAGTGCTGTGAGCGCTGCTGAGCACATCTTGTAGCTCTGGCTCTGTCCTTGCCACCAGCAGCTCCCATTGCACAGGCTCTGCTTGGGGCACAGCGCTGGCACCGCTTCCTAACCGGCGCAATTATCTCCTAAGCGATCTTCTCTGCATTCAGCTGCAGTCATGCCAGTATCGAACAACTGAATTTGTAACCAAAGCAACTCAAACATTTTCAAGCCACCCCGCACAGCTCTAACTCATTTCACATTAAAATAATCTGCTGCAAAGCTCGAGCTCCGCTTTAATTTCCTGGGCAGTTGGGAACTGCCTCTGCGTAACGCTTTTCCAAAGCGGGAGTTTTGATCTCCGCCGGTGAAGGCAGACGCTGTGTGGACTGGCACTGCTCCCCTCATTTCCTACCATTTCCTCACGTAACACAACCGGCTCTCTGCAGCAAGCACACTTCCCCGCACCCGTCGCCGGCCGCAGCTGGCTGTCCATGTGCACGCATGCAGAGCTGCCTAGCACACTGTATATCAAACCCCATCAAAGGGCCGCGGGACAAAGCAACAGCAGTTCCCTCCAACTTTCTTGCATTAAAAAGGCTTTATAAAAGACCTTGATAAAACGAGTGTTTCCTGCTTTTTGATGTGCGGGTAAGGGAACATTATCATGATATCTGCGCAGCCTTACAGCCCACCTAGGAAAAGTGAGAATAGCTCCATCTTTAAATATTTAAAAGCGCTTTATAGATGTCCCGATGCAGTGATTAAAAAAACAAAGATTTTTTTTTTTTTTTTACCTTTAAGGATCAATATTCACTCTGCTAAATGGAAACACTCAGCCAGCTGACAACAGCCAAGCTATCGTGAATGCTAAGATCTCCCAGAGCTACGCGCTCCCAAACACATTTGTGGCTCGGATCAAGCACTCCTTTATTGCACGCAGATCCTCACCCCACATTGCAGCCACCCGCCTGCACCACAGCGCTACATTAAGTGAGAGGAATGACATCTTTCACATGTTATTTCCTCAGTCTCTCCTTCAAAGTGCATCCTGCCATTAGAGCTGGCTGCGTCCTTATTTGTTTGGAGCTGATGGGGTCGTCTGTGCTCACAACAGTGCCATTGCTGCCAGATGAAGTGACACAGGTGCTGTTACATCAACTCTGCTCTTCCTCTGCTTACCGGCTCCTGAGTTTTCGTCTGTCCCAAGGGTTGGTGTGCTGGACAGGTTACCTATGTTGAGTGTCTTATCAGAGCTGTCTGGCCAAGCGCAAGGAATGGATACTCTCTGGATGGTTGGAGATGGGATGCTGGATGACTGAAGCAGATGCCTTTTATGAATCCCAGCTGTTTCACTGATGATGTATTAGACTGGTTGGTGAAGTTTCCTCAGGCACTGTCATCATTCACAAAGAGTTTGGACACTGAGAGACAAAGCATTCCTTCAAAAGGCTAGCAGGCACGGAACACAGGCAGTCTGTACCTCCCTGCTCCAGCTTCCCAGACCAGAGAAAGGCCACTCATCACTGACCTGAACTGAGTCACAACAAGCCTGCCCAGGGCTCACCATCAATCCCTGCAGCCAGCTCCCACCACAGGCAGACTGACAGCTGAAATTCTGCTTGGTTTCTCTTCTCTGTGCTACTTACTGCACCTTCAGATGCTGACCACAGGGCTTCCATCAGCTCCTGCACTGGGGCTTCTTCAGCAAAGAGAGCCTGGCTGTGCTCTCCATGGCAGGTGAAAGCTTTGGGAGGAACCTCCTCCCTTCACCAACAGGCAGGAAGGTCTCTTGCTCTGCAGAAGAGACCAATGCCTTCAGAGGTCTGTTCTGTAAGAGGTCACCTCAGCAGCCTCTTTGCGTCCATCTACTGCAGCCTTTTGAAACTTGCTCATTAGCACGGGGTACTGAAGGCAAACTAAAAAGGCAACCTAAAAAAAATTCAAACACACTAGCCAGCCACCTCCAACTTCAAGTCTGAAGATCCTGCAACACGAAGCTGAACTTCTTAGGTATACACAGCCAAGGGAAAAGCCTTGTGCTGCTGTTATGTGTGTCATCAACCCTCAACAATTGCTTTGAGCAGGTCCAGAGTGCCAACCGTGCCAGGGCAACTGCAGCAGATAACAAATAGGGACTGTGTCCATGGCTCCAGCTTGTGCTTCTCTGAGAAGAGTACAATTTTCCTAGGTAGAAAACCAGTGCAAGGCACTTTTGCAGTCTACTGTACCAGTCCAAGACTCAGCCATCAGGATGAGTGTAGCTGTCCTCTGTGTGAAGAACACGTGTATGGAAAAGAAAGAGGCCAGATCCAAACAAGTAATGTGTTCAAACTCATAACCCACAAATTATAAATATGCTTCTTGAACAGAAGTATATGCAGAGGTAGAGACACAACAAATGCCCAAGGTTCCCAATCTGAGATTTTACTGTTGGCAGCTGACTGCTGTACTTGCTGCAGTATTTCTGTAGTGGATGAGCCTGAACACCTTGAGTCCTAAACACATCAAATGCCACCACTGGGAAGCTTTCCATTATCAGTCGCGCTGGAAGAAATGGTGCCAGCTACAGTAGATGCTAAAGCCTGGCTGCATCAAGGAGAGGGCTGCGAAAAGTCTGAATCATTTTTTCTTTAATCCCACCACAGAAAGAAGAGGCAGAGAAGCCAAAGAATCTGCCTCGGTAGGAAAATATCCCAACATTTCCAGAAACCAGAAACTAGACTTCCTTTGTGTACTTCTCTGCCTTCTTCTTATCTTGCAATCAAACACCCTGGCTTTTCCAGACAACTTCTTTAAGAGTTCTTTCAAAACAGCAATGAGCAGAAGGTAGGAAATGAAACGTTGAGGAAAAAATAGAAAAGAAAGCAGCATCAAGCACGCTGCTCAATGGAGCAGATATACTGGCAGGGGGACTGCAAAGAGAGGGGAAGGTGTGGGCAGTAACTTCAGAAGCAAATGAAACTAATTGGTGACTTTCTTAGGAGCACAGTGCAAACTGCATGGATAAAGGTGTGGCACATCCCCTGTTTTGGAGAACGAGAAGCCCACATTTGATGCCACAACTGGAAATTCGGCAGGACGAGGGAGCAGAGGCTGTGGCACCTGGAACGTGCCCCCAAGCACGTGCCACCAGGAGGCCACGGCAGGATTTTTCATTTCTCTGTACCTCGTTTCCCAGCAAAGCAGAAACACATGCTTCTGAGGCATCGCAAATGGCAGTCAGGTCGTGGCCTCCTTCGAGGGCCAGGACGACGCGGCCTCCGGCCAGGCCCATCAGCTGCTTCGTCAGGTACCCAAAGCCTGTGAGGGGAAAAGAGGAAATGCGAGAGAAGGGCAGAGGTTGTTGCTGGAATCAGGCTCCTGGCGAAGGATCAAAGAGTTATAAAAAGGAATTACATCATATTAAAAAACCACAAGGGATCTGAGCGGACTAAACGCATAATATAAGCCAGGTTTGATTTTCATACGCTCGTTTCAGAATTCCAGCCACGCTTCCCTGCTGGAGCGGTGCGGGATGGATCCACAACCCCTGGGCCGCAGCAAGCATCTCACTGGAGGTTATCCCAGGCACCGAGGGGCAACACAGCCCCCCAGCAGCCCTCCAGCAGGCCCCAGGCTCGGGGTGGTGGCAGAGGCCAGGCAGGGAAGGGGAGGAGGAGGACGGAAGGAGGCTGCCTTCGCCCTGCTGTGTGAGAGAAGGAAAAGGCAAAGTCAGAGAAGTTGTGCAGAAGGCATGGGGGGGGAGGAGGGCAAGGGGAACTGGTGAAATTGCTGCCGGTGCTCTCGGTTCTGATCACGGCACTGCAGAGCCCCAGAGATATCTGACAACCGGCCTTTCACAGACGTTTCTTCCCGTATATAATATGCTGTAAAAATTCCTGAGGCACCGGGACTTTGATCATATGACACACAATACATTTCTGCCCTTTAAACAAAACAGAACCAAGCTGTGAGGATTTAAAAAAACATGTCCTCAAACCAACCCTCCCCCCTAAAAATAGAAAAAAAATCCAAACGAAAGAGAACCCAGCACATTTCTACCCTTCATCTATGCTCCCTGCTTTTGTTTTGCAGTGTCTTATAACTCCTACAAGTGCTTTGCAAATCAGCAAATTAACAGCGAGACAAAAGATTCGTGGCTGAGCACGTAACGTGGTACCCAGCCTCATGTTTTGGGAGAGTAGCAAAGCATGGGAAACGCAACACGCAGGTAAACAAGACCCTTTCATTACAAAGTGTTTCTGGATATCTTAAATAACTTCTCTTGTAAATCTATTCCACTTTATTCCTGTATAAAGTTTATAGGCTCAGCTACCTTACGAAGGTCTGAAGTTCACTATGCATAGTTTGCTTCTCGACTGAAACAATCTCTTAAAGAATGCCCTTCTGCTTTTGCAAGAAAAACTGGGTCGATCCAAATAATACAACCAGATAAACCCAGAACTGCAGCAAAAGGCCAGCCCAGAGCTGAGTGCATCTCCTATGCAATGCAAAACATGAAGACACGCAGCAAAATGGGCCGACTAAATTGTTACAAAGATAAAGAAAAAATATTTGTAAAAAAAATTTTGTAAGGGACCCTGGAGAAAGAAATGGATTCCGTCTAGCACTCAGAGCAGGGAATTACCTCTTTAGATCTGACACTGCCTCCCTTCTGCAATTTTGCATTAAAACAACTGTAATTTTTTCAAATTCAGCAGCAGTCTTCTGCATGGATGTGGTTTGGTCACTGAAAAGTCAAATATGCAATGCTCTAAGACAATAAAGGCTTCAGGCAGACTACAGTAGTAACAAAACAAACGAAAATGCAACGGAAAATCCAAAAAGTTTGCCACTGAAATGGAAGGTTTCAACCTAGATCCTCACAGGCTAAAACCTGGAAATATTATATGTAGGTCATCCTGAAAGTAATGCCTCCTATTTATTTCCATGGAAACTACAACAGATATAAAGAGCACAACCACACTATTTGACAGAGCAAATTCTCAGCTATGAAACACTCTTTCAACAGTCACCACTGTTGGCTGATTTGCATGGATGGCCTGATTGAGATGTTCCTCATTTCATGACAGCTGCGCATGGCTATCCAGAACACAGCCTGTCTCTCATATCACAGTCACTGCCCAAAGCCTCACATCCACTGTTAGGTTTCCATTAATGTTCAGTAAGTGTCAATGAATGCCAATGGGTGCCATTTTTTCCCCATAGAGGAACTCAATGACACACGTTTGCTTTACCCACACTTCTGTGTCAGACGCCAGTCTGTCACAGTGCCCCTCTGCTGCCATCTGTCACACAGCAACAAAGTGTACACTGGTGAGAAGGTTTGATTTCTACTGCCATACCAACACCCAGCACTGACATCCTGGGCCAACATCATAAAATAGGAGGCATTACTTTCGGAGCAAGCCTTGCACGTTAATCCCCAAAATTTCACACCAATTGCAGTATTTGCTGTTTTCTAATCCACAACTTACATTTTGCAGAGAGATTATATCCTCCCAGAGGCGTAGGATGGCCTTCCACCGCGTCAAAACCAGATGACACCAGCACAACATCCGGGGCAAACTCATTGGCAATGGGCATGACGACCGTCCTGCAACAGAATCGAACCATGGCAGACGTGTCACTTTGGATCTTGAACAAACGAAGGAACATTTAACTGATCTTGAACAAGCCCCTTAGAAAGCCTCATCTTGCTTTTCCACAATAGATTTTCCTTTTTCTTGGATGCTGCACTTCTCATCGCTCGCTGTGAAAGGCTGGGACCCAAGATGCATGCGAGCACTGCTCTGCCCGCTGCCTCGTGCAGCTCTGGAGGGCACTGCCAGGCTTGGGGCTACAAGCTTGCTGCTCAACCAGCCCAACAAAGGACAAAAAGACAGCAGGCAGCACTTAATGGTTATCACAAGGCATTGCACAGCTGCAAGGGACAAAAGAAGCTCTAACGTGCAAATTATTCCACCTAACTCCAGTTCCCCATCCTCTGATATTTTGCTCTCTAAAACGAGACAGAATTGCTTAGCATCTGCAAACTACTGCCTGTTAGGACCAGTACTTTGATGAGACAAGAGGTCCACCCCTGTGGCTTCTCAGTAAAATGCATTTTCACTCTGGTGTCTCTCTTCAATATTTCTGTTCAAAATCCATGTGAGGTTGCTAACATCCCATTTCCCACATCAAGATGCCAACTAAGCAAAAAGGAAAAGTTCTGCAGAGAGCAAGAATTGCTTCTTCGCCTAATAGCTCCAGCACAAACGCAGCAGAACTGAAATTACAGCAGTGAAAAACGTCAAAGCAACAGAGCTTCTGAATAAACATGAGACACACACACACAATCTTTTCTGGCAAGGTTAGCATTCCGAAACACAGATAATATGCCAGAACACACCTCTGTAAGCACGACAACTGCACCTTTATTGACGACAGCATTTACAGAATATTCTGAAAACAAGGTTCTATTTGCCCCAGCACCAATCTGAGCTCACGCCATTTCACCCTCTGCAGGACATAGTTTTAACAGAGCTTCAGCATCTCCCATGCAATGACCTACTTGCCGTGTTAGTCAAACCCAGCAAGTCATCTCCAATGCAGAGCAGAGCCCTGGTGTGGGCAGGGACACTGGTACCCAGCATACCATGTACCATCCCAGGTCTGGTGGACGTGCTGAGGCAATGTGCAGTCCAAAAAAACCCTTCAAGCTTTCATTTTTGTCATCTTCCTGGTTGCCACTCTCCATGCACAGCAACACAGAAATCTATGCAATCTACAAAAATAAAACAATTCTCTGCTGGTGGTTACAAGTTGCAGAGCTTTTTGGGCAGCATTCACCCTCTCTGTGCTGAGAAAGTTTTTAATTCTGACAGAGTCTGAAAGTGGAATTTTAATTTTTTTCTCCAATGGCTCGATTGCCATATACTTCTGTCCTCAGGGAGACTATTATGTAAGGAAGACAAAATAGTGCATTTTTCTGCTGATGGCTTTACAGTCGACAAACGCGCTTAGTGAAACCCACAGACATCTGAAGTGGAAACCACCTCCCTGACAAAGGACTAAAGCAGCACTTCTGTAGCAAGTGCACGTGGCAAAGGGCTTTTTTTTTTTCCCTTTCTGTTTTTTTTTCCCTGAGCTTTGAAGTACTGCTGAGCTATTTAATTTATAATCGTAGCAGAACTGCTAAAATCATCAGATTTTTTCCAAAGCTGCAATGTCGTGAGAGATGCTACAACCTCAGCTGCCATAAAGCCATTGGTGGAGCAAACCCAACCCAAAGCCTAAACCCAAACCCGAGCTGTGGAGCTGCACGGGCTGTCAGCACTCAGTCAGCGCTGTGCTGCGAGGTGATGGCATCTTCCTGGCTGTGGCACAGCTCTCTGTGCCCAGTGCACCTCAGAGAGATGCAGGGCATGATGCTCAGCTGTGAGCAGGTCAGATGCCCTCTGGCAGCACAGGTACCACACAGGCAGTGCCTGAAATCTGCAGAGATTTCAGGAGAGAAAAAGCAGTGCTTGCTGTTTGAAAGTAAATCACACTGGTGATAGTTAGAAGCAGCCACATTGCAGAGGAAAATGCCCTTTTTGCTCAGATCCATCACTGTATAGCTAAGTCCCCAAGAGAAAACAGCTACTGAACTTCAAACAAGCCTATTGTATTGTCCTGATGACCACACGATAAAAAAAATCCACAGATTGGAGTAAGGTGAGCAGTTTTCTTCAGAGCTGGGTCTTTTTAGCTAAGGTGGCTGCAAAGCCATTCACTCAAGAATGAAACATTTCATAACACAGAATCTTCCCTTCTAGCCACACCGATTTGTTTTAAAGTATGAGGGTCAAACATTTAAATTTCCTACATTTTAGAAGATTGTTTTGCTTGTTTAATGCAAATTAAATCCTTTCATTAGGCTTTGAATGTGGCTAAGCTGCATGGCTGTGCATTAACTAATACCGATGGCTGCAGACAGCAAAACCTGCTGATCATGTTCTGCAAACACTTTGGGGGGAAAACAAAAACAATTTTCCATTATTTTCCTGAAGAGTGAATAATGCTTAGTCTACTACTGGCCAATCCACCAGTCAAACGCTTAACAAATGACAGGCAGATTAAGCAGTTCTACAGAGGATTTCTCCAATGTTCTCCTCCCACTGCTGGCCATACAACACCAGGTGCCATCCCCTGCTCAGGGGCTGCTGGGGACGAAACAGGCATCAGAAAGCATGAAATCTACAAGACAGAAACAACAATTTGAGGCAAAACAGCACCAGGTTCCCCCTCCCAGTTTGTTGCTTCTGGGATGTTTTGTGGATAGAACCCTTCCACCCCACCAACTCAGCTCCCAGACTTGCTCAAGGCAGAAGGAGGGACTTCTCAGCCCTGATTTTGCTTTTGCTCTGGGTGTCTGAAATAAAACCAAGCCCCACACAGGATTCTAATTGTGTGAGAGACCAGTGTCAGAGTAGGTAAAATTAAGATGAAAAGACAGTTTTCTAGAATCATCAGGGAAAGGTATTTTACATCATGTTTAGAAGAAAACTCCTGCATGTAACACGAATTAATCTCACTAGTAACTGCTGTTCTTGTGCAATAAGGAGCTAGGCACAGCCCTCATGTTGCCTCAGCAGCTCTCCCAGTAGGGTCTGCACGCTATGCTTTTATACAGCCTTTGAAAATGCCACGGGAATTCATAGGAGCAACCACTGTTTCTTGTACAACAAGTCAGGAAACAAAAGACTCCAGTAAAAAAAATAAAATAAAATAAAAAAATAAAGAGTTTTACAACCGTTTGTTTCTATAACTACGGAATAACAGCAATGAATACCAATAACGTTTTGATGAGTTAGGGACTTTTTAAATTACATGCCCTGCGTTTTACGTGTTGGGCTTTCATACATTTCTGCGTAATCTGTGAGATCTGTATTGCCCACATACTTTGGTGGTGACTTCAGCCGTGGAACATTTGCGCAGTAAACGGTCAGCTAAGTTATAACGTAATGCTGCTGAGGGCTGCACTTAGGACAGTGTGGAGGAGTGCCAAGCTCACAGTGAGCTCCCCAAAGCCTTCCAGGGGCGACTCGGGTACCCCACCCTGCTTCCCCTCCATGCACAGCAGCTGGGATTTCACCCCGACCTTCTGCAGTGCTGATTTGGGAACTCAGCTCTGAAGACAACGTGCAGCAAAACGCAAGGCACGGCCGCTCTATGCTTCAGTGATGAGTTTCATTGGGAGTTATTCATTCATCGGAAGAACAATTTGTGAAGACAATTATCTCAGTTATTATTTCGCTAGAGAGCGTGCTTTTATTCATCAATCATTTTATTTCATTCAATCCATACACCAGCTTATCCCAAAACAGAAGAATAAACGGAAAGCTTGACGCTGGCTTTTTCTTAATGTTTTTACATAGAAAGATGGCTTTCCTCCCTAAAAGTGGGCAAGCATGCGAAGGGTTAAGGATTAAAAAAAAAAAAAAAAAAAGGAGAAAAAGTATATCAGTATCTTTGCCTAGCTCAAAGGATTTCCACTGATTCCTCTGCAGACTTCAAAGCCTCACAGTTTGGCATTTGGACTGGTTTGAATTAAAGCTCAGTTCTCCACTGTGAGTTTCCAAGTTCATGGTGAAAATGCCTGCTGCTTCTGGAGTTCATTATGGCCAATTTTCTTATCTTTTCTTCATCTTAGGTTTGATCCCCAGCAAATGCAACGTGGCATTCGATGGGGTGGAATAACAAGGTGCTGCCTTGAAGGCATGCATTGTCTCAAGGGGCTAGCGCAAGAAAAGAAGAAAAAAAAAGGATATATGACCCATTCCCTTCACTTTCTAACTCTCGGGGGACTATAAATTGCAAACTTCAAAGCATTATTTTACATTAAAATCAATAGAAAGATTCAGGAAAAAAATGTTTTTCAAAGAAGCTGGTTAAGATTTGAAAAGGTCACTTGATAATGTATTATCATGACCAATCTTGGCAGAAGATTAAAAAAGCTTCCAATTTAACTTATTGACTGAAGGTGTGCACATGAGGCAGGCTACGGGAGGTGCTACCTATGAGGATGAGTCACAAAGCACTTTGCTTCCCAGAACCCAAAATAAGGGCTGGGGTTAGGTACAAAATCTGCTTCTCACACAGCTGCAGTCTCTGGGCAAAAAGACACCAGCGTCTATTAAGGAATGGCTGGCAAAGGTCTTGTGCTGCAGACTGCTCTGAACAATTTTCCAGGAGCCTTGAAACTCAATTAATATTTAATAGCAAGTATGTCACTCAGTTGCCAGCTACAGGTTCTCTTTATAATGCAGATATCAGTCTTGTTGACTGCTGGGATAAACAGACTTCCACTTTGGAGGAAAGTGCTGCTTTCCTGTACCAGGAATAAAACATCAAGACAAATGAGAGTTATTTGACTAGATGTTACTTTAAATTGTATACATTCTTTGAAGGCTTTTTAATGGCATACTGGAGGGTAAAAGCTCTTTTTGCTCAGTATAACGCAATATGAATACAGGCACAGCAAAGGACAGAAATAACGCTCCCAGATTTCACACACACACTGCTATCCCAGGAAGGCAATATTCCATCTGGCTATTGCCAGAAATTTGCATCTCACGTTTTGGCAATCATGTGTCCCCCTGAATTTATGCAGGGTGTTTGCCAGAAGTGCACTAAATCTGGTCTGAGGACAGAAAACCACTTCAATTGGTAATTGCTAAAAAAGATGCAAGGTGGGGAGGCACGAGGCATATGGGGGGACAGGGGGTGAACAGGACAGCGTCAAGAAAAAATGAAGCCCATGTATCTGCAGGTCAGGGAATTACATTCCTTCTTCTGGAAGGAGTATCAGAGAAGAAAATGTAGTCTCACACAGGACTCTATTCATTACTGTTCTGCTTACCTCTCCACCCAGAAAAACTGTCATTTTATTGTGTTATTCCACTGCTTCCATAGTTCATCTTACTACCTTCATTTTCCCATTCTCTGTGGGTCTGGGAAGCAAATGCATCACACCCCAGGCTTGCAGCAAGCCCCCAAAACACCAGTGTTGTACAATCACCCCATCAAAGCGTTTTGCCCCATAGCTGCCCAGAGCAGCAAGATGTTCAATGCGTGTTTTGCTTCACACACCTCTTCTGATGATACTGACACAAGGAGGAAAATAAGGGTCAAATAAACAATTCCTTGCTGTCCCCAGGTATCACATGTGAGCGTGACAGTAAGAGCACTGGGATACAAACATGTAGGTCAACAAACAGCTCCACGCCCAGCTCCATTTGCAGACTCAAACAATGCCAAGTTTTCTGGAGCACACTTGAGTATGCTTGTACAACCCAACATCATGATTTACATTTGGCCTTGCTCTTACTGCTCGTCAAGGAAGACATCTCAGCAACACATTAATTTAACTCCACAGCTTTGCTTACCTCCATTCACCCCCTATCAGTGAGTGTAACACTTATTTGGTAGAAGGTCATTAAAAGAGGCCCACTTCCCTTCGCTAGGAACTCTCAGGAGTGAGGTAGGGTGGTAGTCACAAGCAGAGCTCATGTAAGGGAGGCAGTGCGTGCCAGCATGCCTAGAAGTTATGCACCATCATGTATATCACAATAATGATGCCTTAAGCTTTGGGACGGCTGCACCTTGAAATTCCAACTCATGGTAACTCATGAAAATTATTTAGGATTCCCTTCCCAATCCAAGTGTATTCATGCACAGAAGCACTCATCCCAAAGATTTTTAGCCAACAACAGAGAGCTCATTCATGTCAGTAGACGTATCAGTCAGTGCTAAGCAGTGAGTACGTCAATCCCCTAACATCACAGACCCACTTCTTGTGGCCAGAAATATCCTCTTTGCTTCATTCAGCTTTATTCCACATGGCACTGCAACTAGATGAAAATCCAGAACGTCTTAACTCGTGATTAAGTTCACGACTGCACAAGATAAAAGAAACCCAATTTAGGTGAAAAATATGATTATAAGAGGGAAACTTCAATATTACCTGAAAGCAGTTAAGTATTCTGTGTCTCCCATCGGTGGATCAAGGCCACCAGTGAAGGCCATGTTAACATTGAACCCAACTCCTGCTCCTGTGCCAACCTGAAAACAGGAAACAGTTCTCTTAATTATACATGTAGAAACAGCAAACTCTGGCAACACCTTTCTGCTGTATCATGATTCTTCCAGTTGAATATGGATTTTGAGCCAATAGCTGGGTGCTAGCTAGGTTAATTTTTCCTTCTAGAGTGACACAGTCCCCAAAGCAAGGATGAAAACACAGCTTCTCCATGCTCACAAATGCTCTGGTGCTTGTGGGAGCTGCAGGCAGGCTGCTTGCCTAAAAAACACCACATCATTAAGTAGATCCTTTTCTAGGATCCTTTCCCTCTTTTGTAGGACATCACATTACATGTAGTTTCTTTCCTTAATTTGTTTTCAGCTTTATCTAGAAGTACACTTTTGTGTCTTACGGTAGTGATAACTAGGGAATAAAACAAGACAATTTTAATCAGAGCGAGCTCCCCCTCTGCTGGGGGAAAATATGATTCACAGACATTTCCACTGCTACAGGGACACGAGTGCTAAATGCAGCTGCATCCCCATCCTTGCCCCTACTGCAAATGTGCCTCTCCTTCCATTCACTCCAAATAATGGAGGAAGGTGAGAAGTTAAAAGTAAACCGGAGCCTTCTAGCAACCATTTGCCAAGAAGCAAGGTCATGCTTCCCTTCATCTGGAATCCTAAAAGCCTGTGCTCGGTGCCTTTGTTGGGTGGGATCTTGCAGTGCTGCTGCCAGCTCAGCACAGCTCTCCTATGCACCACGGTTTTGTTTAGGTCTTGGTGTGTGAAAGAAACCTAAAAATTAATGGTGTTATACAATACACAGCCAGGTAGTTCAGCTAGATAAAGCTGCAAGAAGTGTCAGAGCTTTGTGCATTCTGAGGCAGAAATTAAGAGCTGCTGTGTATTCACTATACAGATGTGCACAAGCAGAGTCATGAAGGAATATCTCACTACATTTCAGTCTCTTTAGAAATCTAAATGGAAACAACAATGCGTGCTGGATGGGAAAACATAAAATGGGCAGGGAACAAATTCTAGGAGTTTTAAGATGTAATCTAAAATGCCTCAGAGAACACAAAACTCACATTTGACAGAATTTAACTGATAAATCACACATGAAGGATGATAATGGAACATTCCTTAGGCACGACCCATTTTCAATTTAAATTTACGACAAAACTACAGCTCAAATGAACGTACTGTACCTTAAAGGCCAGGGAAGGTTTTACCAACTACATACTTCAAACTGTGATTGTTTCTATGCCTCCTGTTTGCAGCATGCTACATTTCAGCCTGGAGGGTGAGGAAGGATGTGATGGATGTAGTAGCATCTGCCCAGAGAAGAAAGGGCTCCACCTTTGCTTGCCCAGCCCTTCTGCAGCAGTGTCTGAGAAACCACCAAGAATTAGTGGACTTGGTCCAACAGCACTGATGGCAGCTGGAGATTAGCACTGGTGTCTGCTGGGCCAGCATAAGGAGCAGACGGGCTTGAGGGTTGTGCCAGGAAAGCTGACCGCTGTGCTGGTGGCACAACCATGGAACAATCTATTCCTCACACCCACATCTTACATCCATTAAGAAGAGTATGCTGTTCTTTGGAGATGAAAGCACTGTCTGGGACAGCTGGCAAAGGGCTCTGGAACAGGTTGTCCCATCAGGAATGGGCAGACTGACTGCATTCACTCCTTTCAGCTTGTTTGCCAAAGTGTGTGCTGTCCTGCCAGCTTCCATGATGCCCACAGCTGTGAGGACTTGGACAAGAACACACCAAGCCCACAAATGTAGGCAATGCACTACTAATCAGACACTAACAAGCAGAAGGGTGGGAGCAGTGACAGAAGCTGCCCTCCAGATCTAACCGAGGCAGGCAGCCCTCAAATTTTGGGGGACACCTGAATTGTAACCCTGAGAAGGTCCTGTTGGACGTGGGAGGGTGCTACGCAGATCCTCTTACCTCATCAGGAGCACCACTGCCTGGAAAGAAGTTCCCATCATCATAGCGATGTAGTGAAATATAAAGAACATTGGGATCATTGTAGAAAGCTTGCTGAGTACCGTTCCCATGGTGCACATCCTTTGGGGACAGAGATTGCAATACATGAGGGAGGTTCGTGTCTCATTCAAAATGACTAAAAGCATCAACCTGGGATTCGGAGGGGTTTCCTCTGGTGTTGAGCTTCATTTTCTGTGCTTCTTTGAGCTAACTGAAGCAGTTCATTGCAAACGAAAGTAATCTGCTTTGCACAGCCAGCTTCAGACTACACTTCTCATTTAACACACCAGATAAATGGCAGTAAGCACAATCGCAAGCACTTACCTGGAGAACAGGATCAATTTAGTTGGGTTTAGAGAATCACATTCATAACTAATCCTGAGGAATGTTGGGCATAGAAAGGCAGTATTAGTTGCCCCAAATTTGCACCTTTAATCAATCAACAGGGTGACCACTGGCACAAGTACCCTGCAAAACTGTCAGGCCTAGCTCAGTGATGTTGAGGGACACAAACCCGTTGCCAAGACCTTCTCCTGCAGTTCTACTTGGTGCAGAAACGCAGTCTGTAGCAGGATGGGTTTGCAAAACACTCCTTCTGACATTAAAAATAGTTGGTGGAAAATGAGGAAAAGGATGTCAATCCAGTAAGGCAAAAAGACAAATACATCCATTTTAACTTGTGGGTCTTGCCCACAAGAGATTTGTTGCAATCTAATCAAAACTCTTGGCTGACACCCAAGGACTCAGATGTCTTCACAGCCAAGAAAAAACATTTTAAAATCAATAAAATGTATCTGCCACATTTTTAAATCTACACGTCACTGTAGCAAAATCCCAAGCAAAAATATTTCACTGTCCTAATCCAACCTGGAGAACACTTCTGACTGCCTGCCCACATGCACAGAGGCTGGCCTGGCCCAGAAGCAGCACACTGAAACCGAGAGTAAAGCTGTGCTGGACAGCCCATCCCTCTCAGAAACCAGCCCTCACACCTCAGAAAAAAAGCTGGGATGGATCCTAGCAATTGAGACCAAAAAGCTTACAAAAAAAAACCCCAACCGAAGCAGCACAGACTGCAGTTATCTATGCTTGAGACTGTGCTATGGGCTTGTATTAGAAGGCAATATCTTATTAATTACAATTCTGTTCGGAAAACTATGGACTCTTTAATAAGCTTTTTGTTTTGTTTTGTTTTGAACTAAAATCTTTTTCAAAAAGTACCAAGCAAACAAATTTTGGCTTACAGACCACAGACAACATTTTTTCACTGACTTACAGAGCCTGGGTTGGCCTCACATGAAACCCAAAGAAAACCCCATGAAAAATTTCCACCTGCTCTCCTGATGGTAACAAGGAAGGTTTACTCACCCAGTCCACTATGAGGATTTTGCTAACATTCAGTCTTTGCTGGAGCAGCTTGGCTGCAATTGCCACGGAGTTAAAATAGCAGAAGCCCCTGGAGGTGATGAGAAGGAAGAGAAAAGAGAAAAAGGAGAGGTGTTAAATATAGGTCTCCTTGGTCCCAGTGCATCTATCATCTGAGACATAACACAGTCGGAAGAAATTTCTTCTGCTTTCACACTGCTTTCCTCCCTGGAAGATATACGTGTGCTCAGTGAGAAACACAAAATAGCCACGCAGCAGCACGTGCCTTGTGATCCGTCAGGAAATGCTTTCCTAAGCCCAATGCAGTGAGATGCTGCTGGGGGCCAGCTGCCCACGAGTGACCCTCGGATCCCCAGTGCTTACATGTAAGAGACAGGGACAGGCAAGACAAAGCAAAGAGGACAAAGAAAGGACAGAACCAAGGCCTGGAGTGCTGAGATGCCATCAGCTGGAAGAGAGGAGATACGCTCACAGAGGCTTAGAACTTTATACTGAAGCACAGAAACTCCACGCATGAAAGTTCAGCACAGTAAGCCTGGAACACAAGTCCAACACAATCCAAGCATGGGACCCAAAGAATGCATGGGATATCTGGTGAAAACCCTAATACAAACCCTGCTGTTTAAAACACACGTCAGCTGCCAGACTTAACTTTGGCTTCATGAAGTCTTCCTGCTCTGCCCCTTTCCTCAGTCAGTGTTGTGACCTCAGGACACAGCTATGCTTGCTATATTGCTATTAATGGTACTCTTGCCTTCCTCACACTGTGTGAGCCATCAATATTGATCTTAAAACAACTCACAGGAGTAAACAAAAGCAGCAGCATTATTCCAAGGCATGACTGTAATGTCAATTTGTGCTAAGAACTACCCACCCAAAAGCACAAAGTAGGAATTTGCCCTCTTCAAGGGAATTACTGGGAGCTTTGCATATGACACCATTTCACATAGAAATTCTGCAATGGTAAACTAACAAACAGCCTTCTTCAGGCTGTAGATCACACAACAGACAAACACTGAAGCAAGATCACAGAGCACAAATGCATACTTACATGGGTGTGCTTTCTTCTGCATGGTGACCTGGAGGTCGAACAACGGCAAATCCATTCTACACACGAAAATAAGAAAAGGAAGAAATGAGACAGGTAGGAAGGTTCATCTCACAAGGATGGATGCATGCAGCCAGGAGCACTAATTGTGCCTTGCAATTATGTAGTTGTCCTCAATGGTTCCTGCACGGCAGCAGATGATGTACTCCCTTGTTCTGGAGGGGAAGATATCCACATGAATTTTAGGGAAACTGGCTGGTACAGCATTTCCTTCCACTCAGGAAAAAATAAATAAATTCTGCATGAGGTCACTGAGCTGACTGGCCCAGCTGAAGCCAGCAGCAAGACCCTCAGATAACACTGGAATAGGGATTTTGCTTGCTGTTCTGGTTTCTTTCTTCCTTTTAATCAGCACGTAAGAACATTCACCAGGAGTCTGCTGTTCACTTGCTGATATCCTCAAAGATTTTTATGACCAAAGCCAGATGGTGCCATTAAAATGAAGCTTGCTGGATCTCCTGCACAACACAGTCATGATCTGAGCCCTGCTGTTCCCGTACACACAGCCCTTTTCAAAGCAAAGTGTTGCTTATTGTCATACCAACCTTCAGTTCTCCTGTGGCCACTTTGAAAACAAGCTCAATGACGCAGCCCACAGCCAGGCGAGCAGCACCAGATGAGTGAACTTCATTCCAGATCGTGTCACTGTCGACCTAAGTGAGACACACAGGAACCATGGTTAGCAACAGTGAGGACAGCCAGGAAACAGAGACTCGTGTCTTATACAGAGTTACTTGAATGTATTAAATGTGGGAATTGGCAGAACTGATCTCAGCAACACCAGGGTTAGGACCGCCATCACCTAAAAGTGACAACACCAACGGCTGTTCCAACAAAGGTTACTCATGGAATGCTTTAGGGTCAGTGCATTAACAGAGGAGGAAATTCAGCACCGTATTTTGCAGGCGTCTCCTACCAGCACTTCTACCACCACTGCAGCACTTCCCCTCAACTGCTGGAGGAAACAGAGTTCAGATGAAAAAGGAGGTTTACAAAATCATTCAATAATCCTCCTAATTAAAGCACTACAGGAGGAATACTTAATAATGAAATTTTAACAACGCCTGCCTAGCCCAGGCCTGCCAGTTGGGTAAGGTTATGCTGACATCAACTTCTCTTGTCCCATCAAAGCTAACAGCAGATCTTCAGAATCTAAGTGCTGATTACAGCGCTGAATATCTGACAGCACCAGCATCCTCTACAGTTTCCCCCAGAAGATGTGCCAGCAGGCCAAAGGCACGGCATCCTTCAGGCAATCTCCGTGCAGTTATGCTACAAGATCCTGCCCTAACTGAAACTAAAAGCAGGGAGTGCTGGCTTTTACCACATTCACGCCACCAACTGCACAAAGATGGGATGGGTTCGAAGACAGATGCTGAGATGCCTGCACAGCTTTTGCTGTGATCCATCTGGAGGCTGCGGGGGGACAAACGGCACGGGGCCTGGATCTCTTCCCCAGCACTCTGGCCTGTTTGCAGGCTGTGATGAGAGCAGAGCTTGTTTTCTTCCTGCCAGCGCCAGCCCTTGTGAAATTCACACTGCTGGGACTATCCCATGTCAGGAAAGCTCTGCTGTACAGTCCTCCTATCCATCACAGGATAAATGCAACATTTCTCAATGTGAAGGATCACCAGCTATTTTTCACATATTGCTCCGCGTTGAGAGCATTTATGGAAACAATGGAGAAGGAGAATGGGAGAAATGGATTATTTGCTTTGTCTGGCAGCCAACCTGCTTACTGAGTTGCGAGGAGATGCGAGTCACCCCACACAACACTGAGCCACCTCCTTCGTGCCTGTGTTGAAGGCGGTGGAAATCATTCCAGGCCCATTACTGGGAATGCTTTCTGGCACCAGCTGCTCTGAGGACAGTTCTGAAGTTGCAGTTAGCCAGTAAAAGTGCCTGGGCTCCCCTGAGTTAATAAGTTTGGGCAGAAACACGGGAACAGAAGTACAACAGGTTTGAGCTCTATACAGCATTGCTAGAAGTCACAGTCACCTGTGTCTGCAGGTGGCAGACACACCTAACCTAAGCAACTGAGAATACCAGCTTGATTTGTGCAAAGAAAATTACAGCCTCAGCGCCGGCAAATTTAATTTCTGTTCTTGGTATCTTGGGGAAGAAGGAGGTTGGTAGAACTCTGCTGCCTCACTGCTACTGCGGAAGGGCCACTCTGCGCTGGTTCGCTGGTTCCATTTCCCTTAACTTAAGGGATACAGCTATGCCACGCAGCCTGGAATGGGCAGATATAACCCATCTGTCTAAAGTCTTGAAAGAAAATGCTGCAGGACAGCAATAAAAAGAGGCGTCCTCTCCCTCTTTGCCCTCCAAGTACCAGGTTCCTCACTTGAATGCAGAGTTTTGCACAGGGTCACATTCATTCACTGTAAAGGCACCAAGGAAACAAATAGCTAAAAGCAGAACTCATATATGACCGGTGTACAGCTTCACGTAAGGACCCTCAGATCTCCATTTGTGCCAGCCTTCCCATAAAGCACACCAAAGCCACCAGTGCCCAAGCCAAACACTGCTAAGTTCACGCCATACTGCCTGCAGAAACCAGGCTTGTGCTGGTAGCACTCCAAGAGGAGCGAGGATGGCAAGACAGGTTTTAAAGAGATGATTTCTGCAGAAATTAAGCACTTAGAAAAAGCATTCTGCCTGCAGCATAAAAGCCAGTCTCTGCCATGCCCAGCTACCCAGTGGGAGAATGACTGGATTAAGAGAGCCAAGCTTGGCACTGCTTTGTCCCACATGCACGCATCTCCACGATAAGGATTTAACACCCAGCCACCTTCCCAGAAAGGATGTCTGGAGACTCCCGGGCCCTAATCCAAGGCAGCACTTCATCATGTTACACTGGAAGTGTCTGAACGGTCCCACTGAAGTCATCAGCACTCTGCAGCAGAGGGGCGTAGGTTCTGCCACGGTGGAAAATCTTATTAATGTGGCCCTGAGCTGAGCTGCACTCTGACTCTAAAGCTGCTGCTGTTCGGTGCTCGGGCTGCTGTTGACCTCTCCATCATTCCTGAATTCTGAAGTTCATCACAGGAAGACACTATTTGGCTTTCCCCATCGACGAGCCCTTTGATGTAGCTGCCATCACAGGAGTTGTTGCTGGGACAGCACATCAAGCCTTAGCATCTGGAAGGACTTTACAGAGGGAGGAAGCACATTTCTTGCCTTTTGTTGATCTGAGAGCGTGCATTTCTCTTTTTCTCTCCCAAACTGGAGGACTCAACTGCGTCAGAGATACCAAGTCTTCCACATCTGCTGGATGAGGAGTGGATAAGCACGCTTGTTTGCTTGAGAGTAATATTAAAGCCAGAGGAGCTGCTGATTCTGCCTCATGGACTTTCAGGAGAGCTGAGGATCTTTGGAATGTGGGAAGAGGGAATTCAGCTCCTGGGGCCTGCTGCAGGCTCTAAAGCCTTCGTAGCGTGCACAATTATTAGAAAATGTGAGGGAAGGTCAGTTTGATAGAGGCTTTGTTTTAAGAGGAATGTTTAAGATGTTTCTGAGCAAAGCATGAAAGAACTTTTCCTTCCTTATAAATATGAAATGTTAAAAAATACAGGCGATGAGCTTCCGACTCACGCTGTGCACTAAATTACGTACTGCCAGGCAGCTATTTAAAAAAAAAAAAGGGGAGGATCTGAAAAAAAGATTTCATTAGAACAAGGAAAACAGAGTGATGGACAGGAGCAAGGGACTGCAAAGCAGAGAGAAACAAAGGAGTTCTGCTCTCCTCTCATCACAGCTCATCCTCACATTCAGGCGACAGCAGCACTCAGCATTCACCCAGTCAGGGAGCCATCTTTACCTTCTCATGTCTCCTAAAGCTCTGGTTAAGTCACTGCTCACATATTTTTTCTTCTAAGACTCACTATTAAGTTTCTTCTCATTTCCATTTCATGGAATATGCACTTTTTTTGATCCCTGCTCTGCAAGAATGTACTTTGTTGCACGCTGTACACCTGCATGGGTAAAGATTTTTTTACACTCTAAACAGGACCCTGCAATCAAAAATAGGAGAACAAGCTCTGGAAGAGATCAAAACCAGTAAGAATCACTAGATTATGGATTTTCAAAGCCTTTTGCAAAATTATTTTCTAATTATCCCGGATTATCCAACACTCCATGCATGTAAGCTATAGCTTAAGAAAAGTGTGTGTGCTGCGGAGAAGTGAACGGCACTAAATGGAAATGCTACTCCTGCAGATGTTGCTGAAGATCAGTGGAAATGAATGACTGTTGTTTAAATCAGAGCTCACATCTGTTGATATGAGTGGTTCTGTGGTTTCTTCCTTCTCTGCTAGGACTGGGACATGTGCAGGTGGGGAGGTTTGTTAGTGTCAGCTGTGACGATGTGAGGGCTTCCTCCTATTAAACAAACCGATGCTGAAAAGAACCAAGAGTTTCCAACCATAGGGGAACAAACCTTCCTCGTTGATCTTGCGAAGCTGTGACTTCGTTTTAGAAGGGAGATCAAAAAGTGTTACGTGGTGAACTGATCTGCCCCAAACCTTTTCCTGCTCCTTCAAAAAACTCCTGTTGTAACACCTGTGCTAGCACAAAGAACTCGTGGAAATTCACAGCTTCCCTCACTGTTAGGCTGATGTATCTGCTGGCCCCAGAGCACCTGGCAGGTCTGAGCAAGGTTCTGAGCAGCACCACAGCATCTAACCCACTGCCCTAACGAGGGGATGAAAAGGCAAAGCAACACTGCCACACCATTGGGGCACAGCCACTGGAGATGTAATGGCTTTGGGGGGGCTTTCCCACCCTCACCCCCCCCACAGTATTGTTCCACATCACCTTTCAGGCCCATTTATTCTTTTAACTTACATAACAACCCTTATGGACAAGAGCTGTGTGTCTGTCTGCAGAAAAAGGACTTGACTTCAAGCTTTCCATCCCATAAATACCATTTGACACCCCCAGCTCCCCTCCTGAATTACAAGGAGCAGCAATCATTCAGCTTTCACCCACTCCAGGCCAGGCCTCCCTCATGCCCTCAGGCATTATTTTGCGCCCAGCAACACTGCTTTTTGTGCTCTACCTTACTACTTAGCTTTGTGTTCTCGTGACATCAATATTTCTCTGCACTCAGCTTTTGTCTTCGTGACCCTGAATAAATTTCGTACCATCACCAGCACGCGCTTACAGACCAATCCTTCGCTTTGCAACATCTCAGAGAATGTGTTGGACTAATTCTGACTGCTGCTCTCTCTCTTCTCATCAGTGATGTACCCAAAAGAGGATTGCTCCCAACTCATTCTACGGTAGCCTGATTTTTTAAAACCTTTCTTTTTTCTTTATGGATCACGTTAGCCCCCTGGCAAGCATTTGCCAGAACAGTATTGAGTGTTCTGGATCAAATCCTCCTTATGAAGCAGTCAGCCAGCTGGAAAGCTGTCTACTGCCTTGGTGAACCATGAATTATTCACTAGGCTGCACTTATTAAGTGACAGAGTCAGAAAAAACTACCCTTCTGCTGAAATAAATCCCTTCTCTTTCAGCTCTGGGCTACAAACCAGATGTCCCACAGGTGCTCGGATCATCCCGTGCTCCTGATGCTCCCTTACCAGTAAAACCAGTGCAAAGCCATAGGAGCTCACACCAACTTCTGTCACCGCCAGGGCTGCCTCCCCACAACCTCCTCAGCTTGTAAGTTAAAGACAGAAGTAAGATAGTCGGCTGTTCAGAAGCAAGTCATGTTCTGCCAACCTGGTGTTCCTGAACAAAGGAGAATCTAAATACAGCTCTGATGCTCCTTGTCCATCAGAGGAGCCATACGGTCACCTTGCAGCCTGCCTACAGCAGCAGGACCCCCAAGCATTCTTGCTAAATCAATTTAAAATTATTCAATTATACCATAACAAGCACTCGATCTCTCAGCGGTCTTCACATGCTGAAACCTCTCAGGCTTGCATCATGCTTCCTCTCTCACCGAAATTCTTCACAACTGATACTTTACCCTTGGCCCTGATGTTTTAAGATCTTCTTTACTTCTTCAAAAAATACTGTACATGTCTCAAAAATGTCTCGTCATCCTCTTTGATGCAGAAAATAACTTGTTTTTCATCTGCTACCGAGAGGCGTGCTCTGTGGCCCAACTAAAATCCCACTGTAGAGCTTCTTCCAACGTTTTCCCATAGCAAATCAAACCAAGAGCAACTTGTCTGACAGAACTGGCATGCTAACAAAGAGTACAGTTTTCCCTCTATTTCTTCAATAGACACGCAACGTTGCTAAGCCAGCTTTCTTGACAGATCTCACACTTTGAAGGACAGCAGAAAACAGGACTGAAAGGAGCTTGTGCGATCGGTGTGCAGATCTCCTACCCCCAAAAGGAGGGGTAACCACTTCAACCCACCCAGGTGTGTACTGCTCAATATGCTATAGCCCATCACTGCGTGCCGTGGCCTCATTTTCCCCACAGATGCATAGCTGCAGTGTATATACTGATCAAAAACGCAGCACAAAAGCAGTGAGGAATCTGCTCTCCTGCAAGTAGAAGCACACAAAGAGCTCGTGCTGCCTTCCAATGGAACTGAGGGAAAGAAAATCAAGCAAAACAACCAGAATGCATTTTTTTTTTCCTTCCACGAAAAATCTGACAAGCGCGCTGTTGATGACTGGTAAATTACCAGTTACACAAAGCTCTTCCTCCAAAACATGAAAGCATTGGTCGGGATGACTGAAACGCTGCAGAAAAGTGGAAAGCTGTTTTATCTCATATTTAAGGCTCAGTGGAGACCAGGAGCAGCAAGTACTATCTTTATCAGCAGCCTATCAGGAATACCAGCGCCGTGGTGCTTCCTGCCCTGATTTAGGACTTAATGCAAGACTTCTGGGACTGCGTTAGGCTCAGGCACTGTCTCTACTTGTTACCATTCAGTCTTCATTTGCAAATGATAATTTTTGCTTTGAATGGCATGCCTGACTGCAGGGCAGGGTAAATCCAAACCTTTTAAACTCCAGCCAAAAATTTGTCATGAATTAGGAGGCTGCAGCATATTTACAATACAAAATAAAATATCTCTACGAGTGCTCAGTTGTGGCGGTATGAATAAACGCCGATTATTCTTTTTTTTTTTTGACGGGATAATTTTCAAAGCAGTGATTTTGCAAAGACTCAGGAAGAAAACAATTTTGTTTCATTTCCATAACAGAATCCAGACCTCCAAATTCAACCTCACGAGCTACAATTATGCATAAGAACTACCACTGCGAATTTTCAAACACAGTGCCTTTTATTGTCTCTTCTCATTCTTTTCCCTTCCTGCTCTATGAGGGTTTCTCTGCTGTCACCCTGCACAGAAACCTTGGAGCAGAAAGTCTGAGCCGAAAGGAAAACTGTCAAGATTTCAGGCTCCAAACAACAAACAACCAACCCAAATCTTCAGCACAAGGCACTGGAATGATATTCCCTCTTTTCAGTCTTCAGGGAATAAATGTCTTTTTCTTTTTTTTTTTAACTATATGAAAGAAATCTTGACAGATGAAAACTGATGTTCAGCTGCTCTGTGATGGATGGACGGGTATTTCAGTCACTTCTTTCAGAATTCACCCTCAAAAAAAATGAAAGATGCCAAATACCGATGACTGCAATTTTACCCTCTGCAATCAGTGAGGTTTTTCATTCTAGGACGATAACACAAGTCCAGCTGCAAATAACTCACTATTTACTGAAACTTCCCAAACATCGTCCTTTAGTATCACCACTTTATTAATAAAGCTTCCACCTGCCCTATGAGACAGGCAGCTCTGAAGCACAAATCCCAAAGATGAAACAGCACATCTTGCTTTCTGCGTGGTTGCGGCGCACTTTTGGGTTCGAAGGTTGCTTTAAATTTCAGTAACCTCTTAGACATTAAGCATCACTGCCTGGGAAATGAGGTTTCTTGTCCCCAAAGCCAGACACGAAGCATGCCTATGAATGTCACCCACGCTTTCAGTGCTCCAAATAGTTTCAAATCATCGCACTGCTTTTGAAGAAAGGCACGTGAGGCTGTCACTGCAAACCCACACCCCAGGCAGACCCTGTTTATGGAGAACATCTGGTAGCAATTACCCACTTGATGGAATGCAAAGCATCGATTTTTGTTACCAATGGGACTCAGAGAACAAACAGGACATTATTTACACATTAAAGAGAGTACTCACCCCGACACCACCACAAGGAAGCCTGACAAACATCGACGTTAGAGAACCTGTAGGAAAAAAACCATACGTAGCCAGTAAGTCAAAAAGTCAAAGTTCACCAGATTGTGGTCCAATTTTATGGCAATGCTGAAATCTTTCTGAACATAGTAACAGATCACAGTTTTCTTGCAATCTTCAGAAGACACGCAGCCAACCCTGCTATATTACAACATGCACATAAACAATATACACACTTGGACATGTTCAAAAGCCTCTCTGACATAAAAGCCTTCTATAAATCACCCATTTTTATGCAATAGTTCTGCACTGTTCCACGTTTCAGGCAATCATGCTGACTATAAATGATTGAGATGCTACCAACGACTGCTCAGCATGTCTGAGGTGAACATTTTAACCACTTTCAACTGAAAGAGGATGGAAATCATAAAAACCCTCTAATTATCAGTCATCTGCACAGGCACTAGAAGACTTTTGAGTCTTCACAAAAGACAGACAGACAAAAAGTAAACCGGTGGCAAGCAAATACAACGTGTTTTCAACTGAAAGAGCAAAACCCATGTTAATAATTTGGGAAAAATGAAGAAAGCCATCTGCAGAAATAATTTTGTAACTATAATGAGTCTAACATCACTTCCTCGGCTTGTGTAGCAGCAATATTATCCACTGCAAATGTTGCATATTTATAAACCATGCACTGAAAGCTCTCATGTCTATTGCTACCCTTTGTACATGCCTTGTATATGTATCTATACACAACAGGCAAGTAGAGAGAAGAAAACATGCACCTGCGAGCATCAGAAAAGAACAGTACAGTGCCAGAGATTCATTTGCCTGATACCTCCTTGAAACGAATGAAAGCTAAAAGTCAGACACATACACTGCCCTTTGACTGGGAGTGGAGTTAGTGCATCTGTGTTGTCAATCCGAGCGCACAGCGAGACTCACTGATTAGATCCACATGAAAACTCTTAGCTCATCCTGCTTTGGACCTCCTGTCACATCTTTCACTGTTAATCCACCTATTATTTCAATATTTATCTTCTTAACAATAATTTATGATTGCTATCCACAAATTAAAAGCAGTTTTATTTGCCTGCATTTAAGCTTGTTCAACAGGTTCCAAAGCTCCAGAGTGTGAAGTGATAAATGGATTCATATTCTTTATCTTGAGACTTTCAATGGATACAGCAACCTTTCCAGGGGTAGAGTTGTGCAGCCTGCCATCTTCAAGCCCTTCAGATACAACACAGCAAAGATCCCTGTAATGCCCAAAGTTGGGTCAGCCTCTTCTCCCATATGACAGGTGACAGGAGAAGATGTAAGAGCCTTACGGTGTACCAGGGAAGGTACGGGTTGTACACTAGGAAAAATTTCTTCTCAGAAAGAGTGGTGAGGTATTGGAACAGCTTGCCCAGAGAGGTGGTGGAGTCATCATTCCTGGAGGTGTTCCAGAACCATGGAGATGTGGCACTTGAGGGATGTGGTCAGTGGGCATGGTGGGGGTGGGTTGGCGCTGGACCAGATGACTGTAGAGGTCTTTTCCAACCTGAATGATTCTATGATTCTAACTCTATGGAAGTGATCTTCACTGTCAGTGGTGGCTGCTGGTAAAGAAGGGCACTTTTTGAAGAAGGAGTGAGACTAACAACTGCAGGACTATTCTGCTGGACACTGTCTAGGAGATCCCTGTCTTTTTTAAACTGAGTAGCCCAGAACTGGACACAGTAGTCTACATGTGGCCTCACTGTGGGAGAGTTGTCCTCCCTGGACCTGCTGCCATGCTCTTTAATACACCCCAGGATACCATTGGCCTTCTTGGCCACAAGGTTACACTGCTGGCTCATGGCCAACCTGCTGCCCACCAGGACCTCCAGGTCCTTCCTCACAGAGCTCCTCTCCAGCAGGTCATCCCTTAACCTGTAGCGATGCACGTGCTCATTCCAGGCGCAATACTCTACATTTGCTCTTGCTAAACCCCATCAGATTCCTCCCTGCCCAACTGTCCAGTATGTCTAGGTCTTGCTGAACAGCAGCACAGCTTCAGAAGTGTCAGCCACTCCTCTCAGTCTTGTATCATCAGCAAACTATCCCTTCATCCAGGTTGTTGATGAAGATGCTGAACGAGACTGGACTGAGCACTGACCCCTGGGGAGCACCACTTGTAACAGGCCTTCAATCAGGCTCTGCGCTGCTGATGATCACCCTCTAAGCTCTGCCAGACAGCCAGTTCTCAATCCACCTCACTGCCCACTCATTTATCTCACATTTTCTAAGTTTCATAACGAGGATGCTGTGAGAGATGGTGTCAAACACCTTGCTGAAGTCAAGATACACAACACCCACTGATCTCCACGCATCTCTCCAGCCAGTGATGACATTGACAGAAGGCTATCAGATTGGTCAAGCATGATTTCTCCTTGGTGAATCTATGTTGACTGCTCCTGATAACCTTCTTCTCTTCCAATTGCTTGGAGACAGTGTCCAGAACATGTTGTTCCATCACCTTTCCAGAGATGGAGGTGAGGCTGACTGGCTTGTAGTTTACCAGATGCTGCTTCTTTCCATTTTTACAGACTGGCGTGACGATGCCTAACCTCCAGTCTTCAGGCACCTCTCCCATGTGCCAGGACCTTTCAAAGATGAAAAAAGAAAGCAATCCAGCAGTCATTTTCCCTAGTCTTCCTTTTACTGTTGACATACTCAAACTTTTCTTTTTATCCTTTACCTTCTTTGCAAGGTTTAATTCCAAGAGGGCCTTAGCCTTCTTCGTTGCATCCCTACAGGCTCTGACAACATTCCTATATTCTTCCCAGGTGCGCAGGTCCTTTCTCCACATTTCACAGACCTTCTTCTTTCCTTTCAGTTTATCCATGAGTTCCTTGTTTATCCACAGAGGCCTCTTTGCCACCTTTCCACGATTTCTTACTCTTAGGGATGCTTGGAAGAAGTGGTGTTTAAATGCCAACCAGCTGCGATGGGCTTCATACCTTCTAATATTCTAGCCCATGGGGTACCTCCAAGTAAGTCTTCGAAGAAGTCAAAGTTGGCTCTCCTGAAGTTCAAGGTAGCAATTCTACTTATGCTTTACTTCTTTTCCCACAAGATCTTAAACTCCACCATTGTGTAATTGCTGCATCCCAAGCTTCCCTCAGCCATCACGCCCCTGACCAGCCTTCCTTGTTAGTAAAAACAAGGTCAAGTAATATACTCCTCCTCATCAGCTCTTGCACCACCTGCACCAGAAAGTCATCAACACGTTGCAAGAACCACCTGCACTCTGTGTGTCTGCCTGTGTTGCTTATCAAACAAATATCAGGATAGTTGAAGCCCCCCATGAGAACTAGTGCCAGGAACCATGAGGCTACTTCCAGCTGTTTGCAGAAGGCCTCATCCACTTCCTACTCCTGACTAGGTGGCCTGCAATACACACCCAAAACAGTGTCACCTACGTTAGCTTATCACTTAATTTTTACCCTCACGTTCTCCACTTTATTCCCTCTGAGTGAAGCTTGACACATTCTAGTTGCACTCTCACATAAAGAGCAACTCCATCTCCTTGTCTTGCCAGACTGCCTTTCCTAAAGAGGACACAGCAATCCATGACAGCACTGCAGTCAAGCGAGCTGTCCCACCATGTCTTTGTGATCACAGTGAGATCATGGCCCCGTGACACATCATGGATCTCTAGTTCTTCCTGTTGATTTCCAGCACCGTATACATTGGTTTATAGAGGTACTTTAGGGAAGCAGGTATCTCTTGAGGGATGCAAGAAGGTTTAAACCCTTCTGGTGATGTTATCACAAGATCCAAATGGACAACTGAGAAGTTTTTCTCCACAGTTTACTAAAAAGACAGCACTATCAGGCCCCCCTCTGTCACAAGTAACTCCATCCTCTTCCCCCATCAGATCTAGTCTTAAAGCTCTGGTAATCAATCCAGCCAGCTTGCTCCCCAAAACACTTCTGCCCCGTCTGCTCAGTTGCATTCTGTCTGACATCCACATACGTGGTCTCTCAAAGGCCTGCCCAAGATCACAGCGGCCAAAATCTTGATCCCAGCTCCATTTCCCCAGCCAGCAATTTTCCTGATCTGTTCTTCTTCCTTCCATGACCCAGCCAGCAGTTGGGAGGACAGAGAAGAATACTGCTCGTGCTCCTGATCCCTTCAGCGTCTTTTCAAGGGATGCAAAGCCCCCTTTAATATTCTGTATTTTCCTCATGGCAGCCTCCCCTGGCCCTACTTGAATGACAACAAGCAGACAGCAGCCATCTTGGTAGAGTCTTCTTAACATCTCTGACACACATCCCCAGAAGATGGCAGCTCTCTGGAAAGGTTATCTGGCAACAAACGGAGGCCTCAGTGCCTCCTAGCAAGGAATCCCCAGTTACTAAGACTCTTGCCCTTTTTTGGTGGAACTAGTTTTAATATGATTCTTTGCTTACTGCATCCTGGGCTCTGTTTGGTATCTAGGCACTCTTTTGTTTCCAGCCCCAGAGCCTCGTATCTGTTGCTCAGGGAGACTGTGCATGTAGGAGGAAGACGTCTCCTTCTGCTCCAAGCAATCCTTGTTTTCATCTTTCAGCTTCACAAGTTTTTCCTTCGACTGAGATTTCTCATGCTTTCTCTTGCTCATAGACTTATCAAAGGCAAAGAGCTTAGACAGAGGAAGTTACCCCATCACAGTCACATATACGTCAAGACACTCAGGTCTACCAAGCTAACATTTGCATACATGAGCCTCATGTGAAGCTTTGGTCTTAGACTTCAAACCTGCTATACATTTAAGCCCACAAATGTATTCAGAAGAACCCCACAAAGCTGTTATTTACATTTAAAAGCCTTTTAAACTTTCAAAAAGAGAGCACAGCTGAAGGGAATGCTTACAGGCTTGTTCACCTCTGTGCACAGATACATATACCGAGGCTTTTCGGGGGGGGTTCCCAACACATCAGAAGCTGTTCTCTCAGCTCCAGCCCAGAACTATGGAAGCCAACAAGTTAGGAAATCGTAGTGTTTTTTGAGACAGCTGAGCTCACAGCAGAGCAATTCTAAGTGCTACCAAAAATACCTTGCAACTAACAATTTCAATGTCCTTTCTATGTCTTCAGCCTCAAACAGTAATAGAAAAGCTGCTGGGCAATGCTAGGACATGGCTGAAGCTTCAGCTGCAATCCCAGCCAAACTCTGGTCTCAGTCACAAATAGGTTATTCTTGGAACTGATTTATCAGGAGTACAGCCCCTTGACAACTTAATGTTCTTTGCAAATTACACATACGCCTGCAACTCTTTGTACTGGAATGCCCTCAGGTGTCAGAACTATTTTTATTCACTAGAGGAAACTTAATTTCTAGAGATATTTTAAAACTGAAAGACATGTGGGGTGCACAGCACACATACTGAAGTACTCAAGGGTAGAGTTTTTCCTCCTGCAGGTTCTCTGAACAGGTTTATTTCAGCCAAAATGTGGGAATAACAATAAACTTTCTTTCCACAAATACACCTGTGGAACTATTGATACAGGTTGTGCCAAGAGTTGAATGTGAATGACAAAGTATTTTGAGAAGCCGTGATATTTGAATGACAAGGAAATACTTATAGTGTTACCCCAGTTCACTCCAAAAACTTATTTACATCTTGCAAGGGGTATCAAATGCCTGACTTTAAGCTGTTTCTGAGAGTGAGTGTAGGGTGATTCAGAGCTTCTCCCAGCCCCACACAGGGTGTCAACCCCATGTGATCCAGCTCCGTGAAGCCAACAGTGCTGAAGGACTGCCTGCATCCCACCGTGAGGAACTCATGGGGACAGGTCATCATCTTCAGCTCTGCTTCATCACTACAGCTCAATGAAGTGAGGTCAGTCAGAATGAAGGTGGTGCAAGTGCAAATGAGGAGCCCTCTTAGATTTACAGGGGAGATTTACACCCTGTTTCTCTGGATTAATGGATATGCCTTATGAAAAGCAAGAGTTTTACACAACCAAAGATATGACATCATAAATTTCTTAAACTGCAAATACTAATTGTGCTATCATTCAGCCAGAAATGTCTATTTCTCATTTCTCTGGGTTTTAAAGAGATGGCAACTTAGCTATAAATACACTGCTAATTACATGTTTAAACAACTGGCTAATAGCTTTCCTCTTTGGGTATCTAATGTACATACTGAATATGTTGCAAAAATCTTTCCAGCTCTTTTGCTATGACTGTTGCAATATGCAGGTCATCAAGTTAATCCTCTTTTTATATCATTCAAAGTGAAGCTAATCCCAAAATAAACATTGTTAAATTCTGGATTCCAGAACTGTCTTTTTGCTGATCCCCACTGCAAAACTTCACAAACTGCCCCTCCAGATTATTACCTCCTGCTGCGAAGAGGAAAAAACAAAGGGAGAAGAAGATGTTCCATGATGGTAAGGTGCCAAAATCAATGTGAATTGATTGCTCTGGTTGGAAATGACTATCCAGCAACCATCCTCTACATAGTCTGCAAGGAAATAGTCTACAGAAGCAGCCCTGTTTCAGGAAGATCCAGTTCCCAGTGAAAGGAATAAACAATCTTGTTCAAAATTAAACAAATGTAGGACTTTTAATAAGAGGCTCCTGCATCTTTCTTGTGGATTATCCACACAGTCCTGACAACTATTTGTTGATGCCTGTGCAGCTGGTTGGTGCTGCAGATCCAGGTCCTTATCAGGGTATTCCGGCTCCTATCAGGCAAAGGAGAACCTTCTAACGTGCAGAGTAGACTGTGCAAAGATATAATAGACTCTAAATTATCTTTTCTCCTCAGAAAGGTTGGTTTTAGGTTTTGAAGGCATTCATTCAAGGAAGCTGTAGCTGGATAAGGTTTAGGGATCTGCCCAAAGATAGGAAGGTGTATAACTCAAGACAATGCTGACAGTAGAGGGGGAAGAATCATCTTGGGAACTGCCTATAGCTGGGGCTGGTGAGAGCACCAAGTGCTCACCTTTCACACCAGCAGGACTAAGGGATCACCAGAACTGGGGCAGTGGGCAGTAGTGTGAATGCTGGGGATCAGGAAGGGCAGCCCACCCCACAGTGAACAATACCTAGAAGTTTCTTGCTGTCCAGTTTCTGTCTGTTCAGAGGGTTTGTGCCGTACAGCAGTGTATGAGCTTCCGAGTGAACTGTCTGCAGCTCTTCTAGAGTTGCTTTTCTTCCACGAATGCACTGAAAGAGCAAAGAAAAGGAGTGATGAGATCACTGGTTTAATGCTCAGTTCTCACTGCTGAATATATGTATTTTTTCTTTCCATAACTTAGCAAGTCATAAACATAACGACCAAAAAACCTAACATTGGTTCTCACATGAAAAAAAATCTTTGTAGGAGAGATTCTGGATTAAACCTCTGTTGAAGATATTAGCTTGACATACAAAGTCATCTTTGGATTTTTTGTTTCTTTATTTTAAAAATATTTACTAGAGAGCACTTGCTGAACTACACAGGAACTGCTAACTACTGGTTATTCAGGATTTCAGTTATAAACCATTATAAAATGATTTACTGATGAAAAAAACTGCAAAACTTCTATTGATGTCAACAGGATCCAACTTCATTCTGATTTTTACAAACTAGGGTCTTTAACACCTCTTTTCATAGAGTTCCAGTATATCTTTCAGGTCAGATGGAGCCACAGGCAACCTGATCTAGTGGGTGGTAACCCTGCCCATGGCAGCGGTTGAATCTGGATGGGCTATAAGGTCCTTTCCAAACCAAGCCATTCTGTGATCTTTGAGGCTCCCCTTTCGTTTCTATTGCCCATTTGTGATGTAACGTGCTTGTCTGCTTGCTGGAACGTGCTGGGCAGTACAAGCTGGCCTCTTGCACAGCAGCGAGCACTCTCTGGCAGGCAGATGCTGCCTGGAGGATATCAGGTATTCCAGAGGAGCTCCTGACAGTGGAAAAAACATCTTGTCTTTTGCACTGGGAACTTGCAACTGCCTCCAAAATGGTGGCAAGGGAAATATGCACAGAGTCAGCAAGTGCTGAGGCTTGAGGTAATACAAGAGGTGGGGAAGGAGTTATTTTGAAATAGGGATGGCTTTGCTTCAGAAATTCGCATGCACTCATATCTCCAGAAAAAAAAAGAAAATAGAATTACTTTATACTTTTTTTTTTTTCTCTATGTAATAGTAAAATACAAGTAGTTGGCAATAGGCATGCTGGAAGCTCTGAAAGCCTCTTGTGGAGATCCCAGGATCACTCTCATGCAGACATGTTCCTCGTCACCTAGCGTGCGCTGCACAGTCTGTGCAGGAATGTGTATGCACACCAGTGTGCATGTACCAGCCCCTCCATGTACCCAGCACAGTCTGCAAAATAAACTTTAGGGAATTGCATCTAAAAACTTCAGCAGAAGCCCTCATCACGTGTTTCAAAGCATGCAGGAAATCCCTTTGTAAAAGCATTTGAGCCATACGGCAGCAGAAATCAAAGCACTGCAGGAGTGCTCGTGCGCTCTGGCTCTCGTAACTTTGGCATCTCTGCTCTCCAGTTCCTCTTTCATTTTCTCCGTGCTCTGCTCCACCACCTAGCATTTCCTGGGGTTAATGATGAGGCAAAAATACACCATCCCATTAAAGAGGCAATAATCACAAAAATGCTGGACCCAGAAGGGATGGAAATATCTGGCAAATCCCCCCTGAGCTTTCATCCTGTCTTCCTTTTTTGTTCATGGTAAGCCTCTCTCAGTTACCCTTAGAGGCTTTTACAGCTTCCCTTTTGCCCATATGCCAATTCTTTCCCTTTGAACGAGACGTACTGACCCATTTTCGGCTGCTACGTTTAGCGGACAGACAGAAATAGTTTGTTGTATTTCTTGGCATCCCGTGGATGCACAAGAAAAGCCGCCCACTGCAGTAAGGCGCCAGGTCCTCTGTGGATGTTCCTGGTTAACAGAGGTGGCCCTACAAGCCCACCAAAGGTCTGTGCTCAACGTCAGGGTGCGGGGACCTCCCTGGCAGTATGAATGGAATGGGAGCTGCAAGAGGACGGAGAAGTTTCTTATGTGCTTCCAGTAAAATGCACGCGAGGAAAAAGCTACTCCTAACTGAAAACAGCAAGTATTCACTGACTGCAAAGGATTGTGCCTGAGACGCTTCTGCACTATTCTTATCTCTCAGCTCACATGCCAAAATCTTGATCCTCAGTTCTAATGCAAAGATACCCAGAAAACGAACTCAATCCCCACCCAGACTAAAGAAGCAACAAAGCATTCCTCAGACGCGGGTGATGGGTTTCCAAATCTATCACAACATGTTACTCAGTGTGCTGTCCGTGCTCCAAATTTGAGCAGTTCTTCACTTCAAGAGCTCTTAGCCTTTTCAGTCATGACACTTGGTTAGTCCTGAGACTTCACAGTGCTTAGGATGAGAAGAAATGGTCTCAAGTTTTGCCAGAGGAGTTTTCAATTGGATATTCAAGGAGTGGGTGCTCAGGCATTGGAAAAGGCTGCCCAGGGAGATGGTAGAGCTCCCATCCCTGGAACTGTTTAAGAGATGTGTAGGTGTGGTGCTTAGGGACATGGGTTAGTGGTGGACTTCGCATTTGGGATGGCTGGACTTGTGGTCTTAAGGGTCTTTCCCAACCTAAACGATTCTATGATTCTATCCAGCTTCTCGCTCTTATTAACACCCCCACAGTCTAACCAACTCCCTGGCTATCAGAACCACGCTTTACAACTCTTAACCCTTCTGGAACTCTTTATCCACTTTATTTGTGCCTTCTTCTGCGTGGAACTTGACGTTCACAACATCTCTCACACTGCTTGATACACTTCCTTCTATTTCTTAGCTAGTTTTCCCTCATTTCAAACCACTAAATGCCAGGTTTGCATTTTATCCACCCTTTCACACCATGATGTTTCAATAGGAGAGGACATGAAACTTGAGAGACAGTGAACCAGATCTTGTCCCACCTACACCCCTCCCTCTATGCCACACAAAGCCATAAAATGGCAACAAAGCTTTTTCTTTTCCCCAGGCACTAGCACCACCTCAGTGCTTTGCAATGAGGATTTTTTGGTGCACAGCTGATGCCCAGCAGTTCTGCGGTGTCGGAGCAGCGACCGATCGTGCCTTCAAGCCAAACACAAGCACCATGCATTGTCAGGATCTCTGCGTGCATCTCCGCTCCAGCAGATGGCTCAGCCCAAGCTCTATTTTTCACGTCTGTCCTCTGCAGCTCCAATTAACCCGAGGGCTTCGGCCAGCAGTGCTCGTACTCTGAACAGCACAGGATCGCTGCCAAGATGTGCCTAGAGACAGACTCTGACTCAGGAACTAATTCTTCTCAATCCTGGTCGAGCAGTCCAAGGGTTTGATTACATCCAAAACGCATAACAAAACCTATTGATTTCCTGTGCTTCTGATGAAGGCTGGGAGGATTATGCTATACAACAGTTGTGGGTTCCCATTTGGGGGAGAGCCTATTTTATTGCGACTGCTTCAATTAGTATAATTGGTGCTTTTAAATTCTGAACATACACCAGAGTAATTGCCATATTTTATAAAGCTAACTTAATTAAACAAGTCGTGCTCTAAAGCCACAGATGTCATTAAGCTTGGACAACTGCTTTCACTCCAAAGGGTCATCTTTAAACTCATGCAAACCTGTTGGACTTTTACCTATCACACTGCAAATCTGCTGCACATCTTCCCCTCAGCTGGATGTAAAATGGTTTTTGGATAACTTCAGCAAATACGTATCTGTTTCACTGCTGAAAAATGAGGGGAGTGGGTGGGTGGGAAGCGCTGTGCTTTTTCTGTTCTAAAAATATTCATGCCCCTTCTGGATCCCTTCTATTGCCTGCAAGAGAAATTACAGGAACTCAGCCCTTGGCAGGTTGTGCAGGAGCCCCTGGGTTGCTTGATGAAAATGGGTTTTCACATTTCTGAAATTTCAAAGCGTGCATTTTTTTGCATGCATAACAAAATATTTATCTGTGAGTTCTTCCCCAGCACGAGGCGTGTGCACAACAGAACCACCAACAGAAAATTTCCAGGTGACAGACACAGAGAATTGCTCAAGCTCGCATGAGAAAACAGAGCACGCAGTTGTGTGGGGACCAAGTGTTGAATTGCTTCTGGAAGAGGAATGGAGGTCCCAATGGAGCTGCATGATCAGTACACAGTATATAGGATTATGTGCTATGCAGGGTGCTGTTTTAATGCATTTCTATCAAACACTTGCTGCTAACAGAATCAAATTATACCCACAACCAGACCACAGCAAAAGGCCGTTCAGGAAGCAAGAGGAAACGCAAGAATAAGGAAACTTCCAATTTCAAACTGTCCTTTTACAGACATGAGTTATAATAAATGGATTAATTAAATAATCACAAACAATTTTCACATCAGGCCCTTGGGTTTACTTAACTGGCTCATAATGTCTGTGGCACAAGACCTGCAACAGCGAATATAAAGTGAGTGCACACAGAAGTGTCACCAATGCCAGCTAAAACATAACACAATAAAAGAGGAGCTGAGGGAGAAAAAGTATGTACACACCTGGCAAACTGCTGATTGCCATAACCCTGGTGCTGCTGTTGACCTGCTGCAGTTGCCACAGACCTAGTACTAGGACAGGGAATGACTAAATTGCTTTGCAGCATGGAAATGAATTACTTTGGTCAAGGACAACAGAAGGTGAACGAGTGTCTGCAGCTGCAGGAAAAACCCTATCATGTACAGAACACTGAAGCAAGGAGGGAGGGAGGAGATGGAGAGAGAGGGAAAGGCTGTGCCCACAAAGCCTGGATAAAGAAGAAAATTTCAATGTGGGTGTGAGCAGGAGTAGGGGACAACAGGTGTAAAGGAACGGGGAAGCTGATGAGAGAAAAACAGGACTAGGTATCCAGAAAGGGCAGGTGAGATCTTTAGGAAAGACAGCAGAGAAAGAAACACAGGATGGCAGGTAGGAAACTAGCATTACATAGCTAACGCTTTCAGAGAAGGGAAGAGTCAAGATGAAGTTGAATTTCACCAGTGGTCATGAGGGACACACAGGTAGGAAGCAGGCGAACATCAAATCCAGCTCCTACTGCAAGACCAACCTGAAGTAACTTCAGGAAAACAACAGTTGCTTGGGATGAAGAACTTCACACACTACAGAACTGTAGGAGACAAGGCAATTACCATAGTGTGAATTAAATATACTTCTAACCAGAGGAGCTAGACAGCAGTGAGGTGCTTAGTTTATTTTGCCAGACACCATAATCCCAGAATTCAATTACACGAGTCTCCAAAGACTGAAACAGTTCTGAAGTTCTTCCTTACTCTGCTGAGGGATAAACACGCTTGTGACAGGGGAGCTTTATCTAATGGCAATGCTGCCACCACGTGGATGTATTTCTTGACTGCTCAGAAAATCCTTCTAGACAGATGCTGACATAACTCATATTTGTGGTGTGATTTGAACCCCTCAGATGCTCGGAGAACTGATGAACAAACACTACTGTTAATATATCATCATTACTACTAGCTATGAATAATAATTTCTAAACACTAGTCTTTTTATCTTAGCAACTTTCACATACTTTGCTTTTCCAACCATCCGTAAAGGAACAACATTTAGTTGCATCCACCTACCCTCATTCTTTTCACAGTGTTTTCACTGTAGGCTGATCATTAATTACCAGAGAATATTAAAAAAAGTTAATAAGCCTCTGAGAAATAAGATACTTTTGCTCCACAGCTCCTGTTATGATTGGAGCGATATCAAATGAGATGGTGACTTCATGTCTGCTCTTCTATTTGGCCATTTTGAAACCCAGCAGTTGATAAGGACTTCCAGGACTTCAGGGAATAGGGCTGAAAGTTACATGAGAAGCTTCACTGCAAACTCTACAGTTTACATCAGGCAAGAGCCTTCTCCAGCATCTCACAAAATTTTAACAGTCACTGCAATGCAATGAAATCGGACTGCTAGAAAAGCACTCCTGACAAGCAAACACACAAGCATTAACGTCATCTAGGTGTTAAATTTAAGCCACATATGGCCAAACGTTGCCAACAGCTGGAGCTATAAAATGATAAAGCTGGAATGCAGTATAAAGTTTGCACATCCAGGTAGCAATCAGCAGTCTGAGCTGCAGGTTCAGTACACACACATTACTTTCCAAACCAGAACCTGGCCCCTAAAGCTGCCTGTAATCCACCAGTGCAACCCACCATGCAAACCAGATGCTCTCTCCCCCAGGCCCACCACCCTTCCCCCTTGCTGGTGCTCATTTTACCTCGCACTTGCCACGGAGACCTGTCTCCTGCAGCCTGGACCAGATGCTCTGGATCCTCCCCGCATGCTCCGGGTGGCTGTTTGTGTTTCCACAGGTACACTGATGTTTCAGCATCAAGGTGTCATAGACAAGGCCTGCAGCAGAAGTTACAAAATTATCTAATTGAACGAAACTGTTTTGCCAGATATATGGAAGAAAAAAATCTTTTTTTCTATTTTTTCTCTACTCTTTTGGTCTACAGCACTTTGCATTCAACTGAATACTTGCACGTCTCACCAGGAGCCACAGAGCTCTAAGAGATGACAGCCTAAGGTGCCAAGAAAGGAGATGGGCAGCTGCTTTGAAACAGAACCAAACCTACAGCAATCCCCTCCTTTAGAAATCTCAGTAGATACAGCAAAGAGTCACCACCATCACTTCAGGCAGAGGTTGTGAGAGTGACAGAAGAAGGTGACAAATGACAGCGTTGGTATCAGTGCAGTGTGCCAGAGCTGGAACACGATTTAGAAGGGGGCTGACTTCAAACTCGTCGGCTGGGTACTTTAATAGTTGCTGCTAAAATGACTCTAGGGCTTGAGATTAAAAACAAGAAGGAATAAGTCGTTAGCAGGCACTATGTTTTATAACATAGTATGTGCTGAAGTCTTCGCATCAACATTATTTGGCAACACGCTAATTAAGACTATTAGAACACACTTGGGAATAATTATTCAGCACGATATGCAGGTATTTAGCTAAATCCCCTTGCACTGCAACTATTTATGGCATGACAGCAGCGTAGGAGACTGCTTCGTGCTCTGGAGCTGCCCGGGTGCAGTTTTGGAACAGGAGCTGCAATTTCACTGCCAGTGTTTCACAGAACAAAGCCAGCAGTTCCTCCCTAGCTACACACTCTGGTGACACAACATTTTTCTTCCCTTATGCAAAAGAGACGCAGTGAAATGTTTCAGTCTCCCCCTCCCTTCAGCCAGGCATTGATCCTCCTAAATCCCACTGGACCTAGCAGCGCCAGGGCAGCTTGCAAGGCCAACCTGAGCCAGCTTCAGGTGAGCAGCTGAAGTACTGATAAACAGCACAATCTGCAGATGCAAGGAGTTCAAAGAGGACTCTGAATACACATGGGGCATGAAACCCCAGCTAGCAGGCCTGACCAGAGCTGAAATTGCACCTTCTGACTGAGTGCAGGCATGTTCTGCCACTGCAAAACTTGGCCCTCCCCTCTGAGGCAAAGTCTGGCACCGACACTCAGCTATTGTGCCTCAGGGAAGGTACCTGGCAGCTCCTTGCTTGGCTGTAGGTGAGCACAAAGGAAAAAAAAACCAAAACAACACAACCCATTCAGTTCTAGGAAGGGAATGGAGTGCTGGTGAACTGATGGGCTCTGGGTTAGCCAAAGTTCAGTTAAATAAGATTGTGCCGCAGTGCTCTGTAAAGGGCTCCCCTGTTTGATTCATCATCAGATGCCATCAGGAGCTGCTGGGCAAAGCCAAGCACTGCAATGCCATCCGAGGAGAAAGTGAAGACCAGCAGTAAGGCTAACTGTCCTTAAAACTCCTCCAGTTTAATTAGACCAGTGTGAGGTCTGTAACTGCTCACTTTTCCTCTGAGGTTAATTAATGAAGTCATCTTCAGGGGATGTCAGGCACTTTGACTAAGTATTTGCTATCCCAAAGGTCTCCATGTAGGCGCCTTCCAAGATCACGTGAGACTGCACTGGGTTTGGGTAAAGTGCTGATACTAAACAAAGGAAAGCACTTCTGTCATCTCTGGCTGCCAGACACATCTACAGGGACTTCAACTGCACGTTACACATTTGAAGCAAAAGAGTGCACGTGTATATATTGAACATATATATTCAGACACGATGAACCTTGAGTTAAGCAAAAAGAAGCATGAGCAGCAAGCAATTCGCTGCTGACTTGCCTCTGTACACCCTTGACTCAGAACAGGACCATCCTGCTTTTGGGGTCAGGATGGTAACTTCTCGAGGCACTGACATGCGCATTGCATTCCCTTGCCAGAGACAGGCTGTACTGCAGCACAGTAGGAATACTGCCAGTGCTTGGTTACTGGTAAATGACAGAACAGCAAGTCCAACTGGAATCTTGTGCTGGAGATGTTCTTGCTGGCAATGCTCAAAGCTTAACTTTCTACAGAGCAAGCAAACGTGGGGATTTACTCACAGCCTGAAAGCTTTAAAGTCAGCTGTTTGGAACTGTTTAGAAAAAAATATTGTCTCGTGTAATCAACAGTTTCTACTAATAATGACTAGTTGGAAAAGCAATTAAAAAATACCAAAGCAATACCACTCCCCAGCAGTGAGGACAGCATACACAGAAGCTTGCAAGCAAACACAAAAAGACAGAACAAGTGAGGCACTCTGGGGATGGCCAAAGAGAAGGGCAAGAGGAAAGCATGCTGCATGGAGAACTGGTGAGAGAGTGCACCAGGAATTCACTCATAAATTGAGAAAGTAAAATATAATACAGGAACATGCAGAATTAGAAGCTGGAAAGGACATTCCATCCTGCAGCTAAGCCTGAGGCTAGCTTAATATCACGCCCTTAGAATCTGAGGAAGAATCAAGCATTTCCAAGCAGTTGTGAGTAGTTTTTAAGCAGTCTTTAGTTTCCCAGATTGTAATTCTGACAAATCTTTTGGCTTCTCAGGAACTGGTCACAACTTGACAGTGAATTATACTGAGTGCACTGCACAGTTGGAGAAGAGGTCCAGCACTATTTAAATATTAAGTATGAGAGCCTGTGTTGCAATTTGTGCTTCTTTTTAAAGGCGTTTTTCTCAAGTTCCTAAGGTTTAAATATTAACTCATCTAATACCATCAGGATGTAACCCCAGCTATGCAAACAAAACAATATCTGGCCACATCAGTGGCTTCTGTTTCGTGCCTGGGTAGCACTGGCAGGGCAGAATGCAACACGGACCAAACCAGTGATAAAAACAAAGGAAAATTCAGATTTTTGCAATGTCTTACACTCTTCTGTCACTCTCCTGATATCCTCCAGCACAGCAGAGCAGTGAGTGGCCTCAAACTTTTTTTTGGAGGAGCCTGGTGTCAGCTCAGAACCAGGCAGTGGCATTTACCAGCTCACCTTACTCAGTGCCACAATGAGGAGAGCAAACATAAGCAACTGTGGGCTTGATCCCCAGCCACACAAACCAGCACCTCTTCATCCACATCTGCAAATGCCAGAAAGCTGCAGGTGTGTTTAAAATGCATCTGTACATCTAAAATGGATTTTACTAACCGAGTCTGTTAAATACAAGATAGAAAAAGGAGTTAAAGGAAAAGGTTTTGGAAAATGTGGTGGTAGGATGCCTACTCGTCCTTATTTCTGAAGTTAATGGGAACTGCAGCACTACAGCAGGGTTTATATAGCTTGGATGAGCTATGAAGTTTCTCCAAAGATTCACCGATAACAGCAGTCAGCCACCTCTCAGCGAAGGGAAGGGAACTGCTCCAAGTTGCTCATTGTGGCCGTGGACACTCAGATGAAGACATATACACAAAGGAAATCTTGATAATTTAAGCTTAAAATATTTAATTACGTTGGCCATTAGGAGTTTAAGTAAGTGATGTTGGAAGCAATACTCTTTCAGACACGACAATCATTTTTAAAGGTCAGCACTACACTACAACCGACTCGCCTTTCCTGGCAGAACAAACATATGATTTGAGGTTCAGATAATTACATCACTCTGCACAGGAGAGAACAAATGCCTTCATCAGAAAAGAAAAATACTTTAAAGCAGAACATCAGAATAATTTGTGGTGCCGTTTTTAGAGGAGATCAGAGACTGGATAATTGGAGCTATGCAAATTAATGGCCTAACCTGAGAAGCCCTACTGAAGTGTGTAGAACAGTGCATGCAGAAGTACTCATTAAAGTCAGGGGGCTATTCATGCTAGTGAGGGCAAGTTCAACAACTAACTTTCTTTCATATTCTGCTATGAAGGAAAATTTAATGCCATGCTTCAGGATACAAAATGAACTGCTTGCAGAAGTCAAGGAGGGCACTGTTTTCACTTTCATGTGAAGTAACACACATCATGTTTGAGTAGTAAGTACATCATGTTGCTGTTTTTCTTTACCTTTGAAGTCTCAGGTACTAGTCACTGGCAGAGACAGGAAAACAAATTATACATCAAGAACAGAATTAGGGCTACCTGGTCCTACTTCTGCCCAGGGAAAGCATTAGCCCTTTTCTGCACAGTATTCTGAAAGTGAAAGTGAGGAACTATCCCTTTGTTTGTTGGACAAGAATTGATCTGTAGGAGCCACATTTGTGTCTACAGTAATCATGCTGGCTTCATTAGGGCCACTGAAAGAGGCCTGTTTTTCCACCCCTCCCACCAAATGATCACAAGAATTCAAATCTTAACTTCTCCGAAATCCAAAGCACATATTTGTGTTGGAATCAACCTCCAAAGCAGCCACTTATCAAACAGATGGGTTCTCCTAGTGAAAAAGAAGCCCGATGCACTTCGGCATCACTTGCTTTGAAAAATCCCCAAGGCTTTAATTTCCTGCCTTTCAAAGAAAAGTTCAATCCCAGCGATTAAGCTTTAGTATCCACCTCCAAAACACAATCACTGATAGACTACAGACTGCTTCAGGAAAACAGAACCAGCCTTAGTAGTGCACACATGCTCAACATTTGAGATAGCTGCCTTTCTCTGAAGCTGTGCTCAGAGTAGTAGGCTCTCTTTCCTGCCACTGTCAGCAAATAGTGCAGGTTAACTAAACAAGTCCTTTGCCTGGGTAAGAATGCATGTGGGGAATACAGTAACTCTGCCTGTCTGAAAGATCTCTCTCTGGGAATTAAAAAGGGAAGGAAACAAGAGATTGCCAGCCTGAGTGTGTAGAGGGCTTCAAATTTACTAGTGCCAGCGAATGCCAAGAACCACCTTCTCTCTTGGCAGCAATTAATTGTGTTTTCCCTCCTCCATCCACCTATCGTAAATGAAGAGACGTGCATGAGATGCAAGGCAGTGGAAAAATCAAGCCCTTGGAGTCTGGACATGGATAAATGCCATAAAAAGGAAGTTTAACAGGTGAAATAGACTGTACATTGTGCACGTCATTGCACTGGCTTAAATACATGTACAACACCATATAAAAGCAATGCAGGGTTTTTTTTTTACTTCTTAATGTAGGCTGTCTTTTGTAACCTTTCCTATAAGGAACACAAATCATAACACTCTACCAGTGTCCTTCCAATGCAGCATCGTTCTCCAGACCTGTGTACTTCCTGTCACATTCTTATCTAATGTTAACGAAATTCAGAGGCACATATCTGAGTGACACATACATCTTCTGGTAGGAAATGTTACTGTATATTCAGTCTTGTGCATGACTGACAAGGCAACTTAAGTACTGGAGGTGAAGGGAAGAGAGAGAAGAACGAATAATCTCCTGTAGTAGGGCCATGCTTCCACTTGTTTTCAAAGGAGCAAGGTTTGGGACTAGGAGTGTTAGATGCTCAAGTTTCATCTTGGTTTCACTGTGAGCTGGAGGATTACCTTTCTTTTCACTCCTGGCTAAAGCCAAAAGCTAGAATAATCTTGGTGCTGTAACTGGCTACACTGGAAACATATTTTTGCTAAAATTCAAAGTTTAAATATTAGCAGCAGATGGAGACTTGAAAGGCTGATTTTCAAAAATTAGCTACTACCTGGACTTTTAGAGCTGATTGCACATGCCTCCCACCCAGCAATTAACAGCTACAGAACAAAGCCAGCTTTAATGCATCACTATCACTATCCCATCAGTATCTAATTCACAGTGCTGATTTTAACGATGCAAAAAAAGAGTGGGTGAAATAAGATGAAATGGATAGATCATGAGTTGCCCTTACTGCAGCATTTTTTTCTCCTTTCCTCAGGGCATATATCAGATGGCAAAATGTTCATTCACAAAATAAGAGCTCGACATCTTGGGAAGAAGGCAGAACCTTCAAAATAAGGTTGCCTAATTACCTAATGTGGGTTCTGACAAGTTGCACATAATTTACTTTTATCTGTTATGAACAGACAGAAAAGATTTGGATGGAAAAAAGGCACTCATAAGCCCTCCCTCATTTAGGAAGAATAGTTATTCTCGACCTTAAATCTTTGTGGGGAGACTAACATCTTTTTTATCATCTTTTTTGCATTTCTGATTTTCGTGAGACAAATACAGAATTGCACTCATAATTTTTGTTTTGAGATGAAGACTGAACAGGTTTGTGGAAAGTGCTCTTCCCTCTGCTCCTCCACACTGACATCTTGGAATGATCAACTCGCCTCGCTTTTCCTAACCCACAGGCAACTGACTCCCAGGCAGAGTGCTGTGGAAGGAAGGGTAGTCTGGCACAAAGCCCAAACTGGATGACTTATGGCATGAGATTATGCAGGGACTGGAGAAGGTGCAGAAAATACAGCCGACAGATACTGCATTTGGCACGCTGTCCTTCGTCAGTAACATTGCCTCTCTCCTCCTTGCACCTAAATCAGCCTTGTCACAGTGTATGACTTGCCCTTTTCTTTTTCTTTTTTTTGGAGATACATAATTAAAGTACCACGCTATGTTTCTATTGATTTTTGCAGACTGTTTTCTGTCTGGACTACAGGGTGTCTGTCCCTCAAAGGAATGCAAAAGCAGGACAACAGGGCACAGGATGACCAATCACATTCTCCAAGATGACAGGATGTTAAGGAGCTCACAGCCAGCTGAGACTCAGCCCTCGGACAGGGGACAGAAAAACACAACGTGAAGCAGAACAGCTACCACAGCCCCACCGACTGGTTTCCAGCGCTCTCCAACATTACCTGTAGTGAACCTTGGCTTAGTGGGTGGCTCCTGTACAGACATAGGGAAGGTGGCCGAGGCGGGTGAGGACTGTGCACGGGACAGGGGCCGATGACCTCCAAAGGAGACTGGCATCCCAGCTGCCTCCAGCGATGCCTGGTAGTTTCTCAGCTGGTGAATGCGCTGCTGCTCCAACAGGAGGGCTTGCTGTGGGGAAGAGAAGCAGGTAGCTACTGAAGGTAGCCTCACAGAAGGTCCAACATCAGCAGCACTTCACATCATGTTCATTTATTCATTCTTACTAGAGAAATGAGGCCTACATGTGATTGCATAAATCTAGGAGATTGCTTTGCACAAGCATGGTTGGCAACAGCATCAACCCCTCAAGGCAGCACCGTTACGAAGACAATGCTCCTCAACTTGGGACTGAAGATGTCCCTGAGCTGCAGGCAGTGACATGTGGGGCCCACAAGCTGGCCCCACAGTGCCAGGGAGACAGCAGCAAGCAGCTCAATGCAAACATCTATGCAGAGCAAGCAATTTGCACCTGATTCAGACATTACAACAGCAAGCCTGGCACCAGTCTGCCTTCCATAGCCAAGGGTTGTGGATTTATTCTGAGAGCTACACCCTGGCAGTGCTTCAGCAATCTGTTCTTGGCTGCAGGGGCTGTGCAGGGGTTCACGAGGCTCAAGGTACAGTCAGGCACTAAGGGCAGCAATGACAAGCTGAGCACTTCAGGTCCCTCCAGAGAATTGTAACTTTCTCACTCGTTACTGCTACCACAGACAGTGTTTTCTGGGAGACTGCCATGTAATTGGGAGGTAATGCTATACTACACGGTTACTGGATTTTATGCTTCTAATCCCAAGGCTCTGGTCTTTCCCATCAAAAGGGAGCGCACCTGTGATCTCTGGGATTTGCAGTGCTGAAGAAGGAATCCTCTGCAAAAAAATCACTTTGACACTCCAACCCTTATCTAGCCCTCCTCTGCAGTTGTCAATTTGCTTTAGAATGTTAGAATCATAAAACAAAATCCTCTGCTAGGATCCCTTGCATGAGCAATTTCTCTGCTAGTATTTAGTGCTCAAAAAATGTTAGGAGTAGTCACAAAAATCAGAGTGACCATTTGGGACTTGGCTAATAAAGGATTTACTTTGTAAAACAATTACACTGTTTTCCTGCAAGGCTTTTTCCCACCGCCCTCTGTCCCAGAGGCTTGTATCATCACCCTCACAAACACCAAGTCCTGTCCTCTCTGGGACACTTAGGGATGTGTCTGCAAGCACAAGCCAAGTACGTCCAATTAGTTTAGTACTAACCTTCCCATTCTCTACACATAAAAACACATTCTCTACACAAAAAAAATTCTCTACATCGTTTGATACAATGATTACAAACTGCCATTGAAAGGCTGGGAAAATCTTAAGCTATTTTTTAGGAACTGGGATCTGTAACTAACAGATTTCTGACACCCTCTCCTAGCAGCTGTAAGTATCTGTGAGGTGAGGGCTGGTTATCTCCTTGACTTTCATCCACAACAGCGTACACAGATTCAACCTGTCACTCCAGATGCTGCTAAACACCTCAACTCCAGGAGCCTCCAGCGCATTCTGAGCTCACCTGGCGGAAGAGCAGCTCCTGCTCAGCCTGCCTCTGCCCAGACTCCAGCTCCTGCTGCGGCTCAGCTTCCTCCTCATCGCTCTCGATGGGTTCTTGCTTCACCTGCACCATATTGGCCAGCCCTGGGACCTCCTTTTGGCTCGACACCCTGTCACTGTACGGCTCCTCCAAAAGGGCTTGGTGTTCTCGAAGCTCTTCTTCTGTCTCCTCTGGGTGGCTTTCATGCTGGCGAGCTGGCTCGTTGGGTTTTGATATTATCTGCAAACATCCAGGAGGTTAATTGATAAAATAGGTAAAATGTAACTTACTGCGGGTCAAGTTTACTGTGCTCTCCTGAGTCAGTTTCGTGAAAAGAGAAATCATGAACTATAGCTCTTATCTTACAAACAAGGTCTGAAACAGTAAAGCAACAGAAAGGTCAGTTTAGTCTCAACATTAAGCGCTATCAAAGAAATACTACGCCCTATGTAATGAAGGCCCCTTAGTTTGCACTTGGTTTTCCCCCTTAAGCAATCAGAACCTCTTATGCCTACTCATCTACAGATGCTAGTGAATTCACAAATAATGTAACAACCATCAACACATCCAGCAATCCTGAAAAAATAAGAGAGACAAATGCTCTCAGAGGGCTTCTGCTTCGCTGTTTGTCCAGCTTCTTCTGCAATCATCCCATGAATTTTATCAAGAATTTTCACAAATTACTGTAAATAACTGTGAGGATTTTCCCTGAAGACGCCTACAAAACTTGTGCTCTTTTGTGGTCAGTTAAGAGGAAACTGAGGATGCTAAACTTACAGCATCTTCACAGAAACCAACTGCAAGAAGAGCATCATTCTAATCAGACCTCTCCAAACGTGCCTGCTAAAACAAAGGGAACAGTGCAATTTCACTGTAATTCAACAAGCCCAAACGCTTTGCAAATGGATCATTGAGGCAGAATTCTCAGCGCCCGGTCTCAAACTGCTTATGATTTTTATTTGGAGCAAAAATGTATGTGCACTATTTTTAAACCCGCAGAGGTAAATAGATTAATGTCCTTTCTTTTAAAGAGTTCAGACTGTACCCGTTTCACAGGCTTATAAAAAAAGTGCTGAACTTTGAAAGCTGTCAGGGCAGAGCTTTAATAGGGATTAGGTCATTGGTATGAAAAGCAATATTGATTTTAAATCTAATAAAGCTAAATCAAAACACGGTTATTGAACACATGCAGGAGTGACTACTTAAAAGTAACTCATTCTTTGAAGAACATTGACTCAAATCTGAAACTAAGCCTTTTTTCCTAAATGTAAGAAGAGAAGCTCTGCCGTGTAACTTCAGCAAATCTATTCAAAGAAGATTTAGGCATAAAAAGGCCATACTAAGGATTAATTGCCTGAAAGTATCACACTAAGGACAGCAACAAACTGTTCATAACTACAGCAGAGGGTGTCACAGAAACGGGGTTCAAAACTTCCCTTATCATCAGAGCACTGTAAGGATGAGGATGCAGAGCTTGAGCTTTCTAGCACTTGCAGATTGCTGAGTTTTGTATATCTCAGCTCCTGAAAGAAGCATAATATGCAGAAGGGCCTTATCTTGCTTAGCATAAGGCAAACCCTGTGGGGTTCATCTGATCCCCAATGTGTATGGTGGGTGCAGCCCATCCATCCTAGTCACAAAGAGCCAATAATCTTGTACTGGTCAGTGACTGGTTGAATGGCTGCTGTTGGCAAGAGTGAGTTTCCATAACCACAGGGTCCTCTCTGAGAGCCAACAGCTGCTTGGAAGAGATAGAAGTCACCTACCTAGATAGAGCTTTCTCAATGGGCAAGGCAACCTGGTAGAGTCAGCCTAATCTAGAAAAGCCAGGGCAGAGAGTGATTCCTCAACAAGCATCTAAGACAGCTGTGGACACTGTAGTCAAGCCAAGGACACAAAGTGGTGAGAGAAAATAATGAAACAGCAATCCACAAAATAGCTGGCACCCACTTGTGTACAGGCATGTGATAAAGGAGGTGGCTGCACTACAGCCTGGGGGGGAAAGCTCTCAGGTCTGTCCTGGGGAATTAGCAGACTTGGGTGATTCTCTGAAATGCCTCTGTACTACTACATGAGGATCACACAGGAAGATCTGAGTTACCTGTGCAGTTCCAGGACCATGAGCTCCCCTGAAGCATGGAGATTTTGTGGAATAACATAAATGACTGGAGTGCTGTGATGCAGGGATGTTGGTTGTTTAGGGGGGACAAGCTGGGATGTAAAGAAAAGGCCCTTTACACTGAGAAAAAAACAGGAATGCATGGAATTCTGCATGTTGGTATGGGTCTGGAGTTAATCAAGAACAAGCAGGCAGACCAAAATGGGTGCTCATGTAATTACGTAATGGGTAAGCTGCTGTAGACTTCCTGATCAGATAGAAGTAGGTGAGGGCTACTTTGAAGTAAGTCCTGGTGCAGTGTGACATCACGATGGAATTTGAGACCCAGAGAGTAGAAACTCGGTAAAAACAGGACCACAGCCATGGATTTCAGAAGAATAGACTTTAGCCTCTTCAGATATCTGCTTGGAATAGCCCCATGGCTATAGCACACGCAGCAGAAGGCCAGCACGGATGAGCAGAGATCTCCTACCTGAACTTGACACAAATGGGCAGTATATAGAGGAGCAAATATGACAGGTGACCCACAAGAACACTGTTTCCATATGATCTTGCAGCAATGATGCTAGGAAACCCAAAGTTGACCTGGAATTGAATCTGGCAAGGGATACGATGGGAAACAGGCAAAAGGAAGATCAGGGAAAACATGGGCCCACTGCCAAAGAGAGCAAAGGACCTGGTTACATGGACATGGGCACGATACTCAATGCCTTCTTCACCACTAAGACTGGCTTTCAGGTATCACATGCCCCTGAGACCAGTGGAGAAGTGTTGGAGCAAAGAAGCCAGGGGATGAAAGACCAGATTTGGCAGTATTTAAACTAGACAAACACTGGTGTGTTTCACTCACATGACAGAACAAGAGGCACTGGACAGAAATTAAAGCACATGAATTTTATTTTGAACACTATATAACTCTTTTTTTTTTTTTAATTTTTTTGCTGTGAGTGTGGTCATGCCCTGGAACAGACCGCCCAAGAACAGTTGTGGAGGTCTCCATCCTTGGAGATACTGCAAACCCAGTTGGATGTGGTCTTGGGCAAGCTGCTCTAACTGACCCTGTTTGGAGTAGACGATCCCAAGAGAAACCTGCAAATCTAAATTATTCTGTGATAACTTTTGAGGATTTTTGTGGGTTCTTCCCCACAGACCCTTCATCTCTCCAGTTTCATGGCTATTTACACACTCTGCACAGCTTAGCCACGTTAAGCTAAAGGTAGTTCTTCAATCAGTTTTCTTTAAGCTCACCGAGGCTTGATGAATATAATCTGGCTTAAAGGTAATTTAATCACCATAAATCACCATTGACTTTTTTCTGCTTGGATCGCAGCTCTCAGGCTTTGAACTTGATACCTTTTCAACTTATGAACTATGCAAGGTGAGTTAAATGCTGGTAAAATAACTTACAATGTCCCTGTCAAATCTAATGGAAATGAGAAGCAGCGTAATTCCCTAGAAGTTTAAAATTATTCAAATTCCATTAAGACATAGTAATGTAATGAAAAGCACATTGTAAAACTCTACAATGCGGGCTGAAAGATCAAGTGGTCCACGACAAGGTCATTTCAAACATTCTGTTTGCTGTCCTGATATAAACTGAGTTTGTTGGTATGTCACTTGCTCCAGCGGCTGCAAATCAATTCTTCTTCAAGGACAATTCTGCATAGGAAGTACTGCTATGAACAAATTTCACATCATTCACAATGCTGCGTGCCCCCCAGGCCCATAAAATGACTAAAAATGACTTGAAAATCCTCCTTTTTTCCTAATTCTATGGACACGTGCTCAACACCAAGATGTCGACTGAAGAAAAGCTAAGGTGATCTAAGTGCAGGGGAATGAATATAAAGTTAAGAGAGCATTTAAAATGGTCACAAATGTATCTTAAATAGTAAACAATTACGCAGTGAACCATAAACAACCCCTTCTTAGCTCTTTCATATCCTTTTGCAGTGAGGTTATTACTCTATTTTTAAACACTGTCACCTCTGGCAATGACACACTGCCACCATAAAACAGTGAAAGGCACTGCCTCTCTACTCTTGGACAACTACTTCAGTACAGAAGTAACAACTCAATTCATGTGCATTATTAAGAAATAAACAGAATTATTCATTTTTCCATGGAATGCTTCATATAGAAAATTTTTAAACAGAGGCTCTGTTCTTTGTTAGTAAAATTTCACTGGGCACCTGTTGTATCTACTACATACTTCTGTATCTGCTGCTTCTCGTTATCTTTTCTGATGCTAAGAGGCAGATGCAGAGCTCCTTGGGAAGTACATGCAGAGATGAAGTATTTCAATGAGGCTCTATAGCAAAGCTTCCTATTGGAAATCTCTGATTAAACTGTGCACCTCTGAATCTGTCCCTTAGAAGATAAGCAGTTACAGAAGAAATTTCTGATCCTACACAAATAAAAGGCTTTCAGAAATAATAGGCTGACAGAGCAGGGCATGACTGTAGGTAAAACCTGAAGATCTCAAGATCTCTGCCAATTTCTGAGTGCAACAAAGGAACCTGGTGTTTCTCCTCATTGTAGTTACTGAAAAGTTAGAAGAACTAAGAATCACTGGCTGCTTTCAAAAACCAGATTAACAACAGTTTTTTTGGAATACAGCATACCTTCTGAAGGGAATACATCAGTCATGTCCTCAGAATACTCATGACTGCCAGACAGACTGGTGTGTACAGGACATGGGTTGGGGGCTGAAAGCACCACACACACCTTTGAACTTCAGGATAAACTGTCACAGTTCCATAAAGCCCGTTCAGGGTTATCTACAGGTAGAACGAGCTCAAAGAGATCATGCTTGACAATGTCCCAAAAGCCCATTCCACTTTGCTAGGTAAGTAGAGTGGGCCAACTTTGCATAGATAGGAAGATGCTGAAAGGCAGATCAGACAACATTACTGTTGAGAACAAGCCCTTTTCCGTGCTTGGAATGGCAGAGCATATCCAGTGGGATGGAGCAGCCTCCTTGTTTGGGTAATGGGGAGGAACAGTGGATGTTACCAGCTGGGACCCCACTCTCCTTCACTGCTAACATCAATCACGCAGAGGAAGAGAGAAGAGGAAACCTCCCTTTCCTTCCTCTGCTGGAAGATGAAAGAGGACACTCAGGGAAGAAAGAACAACTCCGGAGAGCTGCAGAGGCAGCTTTGGTAAAAATGAGAAGATGAAGTGACAACAAGGGCTCAGCTCATAAGCATCCTAAGCAAAAAAAAGTGTCGCTCGAGTTAAGGATATAGCTAGGAATTGAAAACTGAGAGGCAGTGGAGCGACTAGCGGCAGGGATGCTCAAGGAAAAGGGAAGCACCAGCAGGGAGGCACAAAGCATCTCGCGAGGAGCAGGCGCATACACAAGGTTTTGGAGGAGCAAATACAGTGCTGAGGGCTCGAATTAACCACTCAGAACTGGCAACACAAGCTCTCCTCTTCTGGCTATCAAAGTTGACTCTTCCCACACAAGGTATTCCCCTGAAGAATGGGAAAGTCTAGTTTTTTATTTTCACAGGCTAAAGAGAAGAGATGATATGGAACAATGGGGAGAGGCAGCACTGGGCACAGGCCTCGATGCAGGCAGCTGGCAGAATGTTCTGCAGTGGCTGAAAACAAGAAAAATTTATTTCCTTTTTTTTTTTTTTACCCTGTCAAGTGATGAACACCACCTGCTGGAAGCAGCCTACCTGCTGGAAGGACCACCAGCCTGCTCACCTCTGTGCCTAGGCAAGAGGGAACGACTGAGCTGCAACAAGCCAAAGAACAGGGACTGTCTGGGAGGAGAACAGGAAGGGAAGCAAGAAAAAAAATGTTTTGGCAACAGCAGAAGCTGTTTTTTTCCTCCCTCCCCCAAATAATTGGGATTATGGACTTGATTATATCAGGTGAGTCGAGCTTTGCAACAACAGCCCACAGAGCAACGGCTCCTGGCAAAACCCCTTAATAGCATGTATGCAGCAACAGGCACATTTCTTGACGAAGATGAAAACTCCTTCTTACTTTATCCATCAGCCTGAAAGTAAAGAGAAGAGAGTGCAGGGGGAAATCGTTTGAGTGATAAGTGAGTAGGGACTACTCCTAAACAGGTTTTCCTTAGGCTTCCAATGGATAACAGCCCGAGCTGAACGTTGTGCAATACAATCTACAGCGTATTTTTCCAATCGCTACAAATTGAACATTGTATATTAAAAAGCACTCCAGAAGTCACTTGAGGCTAAACAGCCGACGTGTTCCAAAAAAGAAAAATGCAGGAAATAGCAAGGTTAAATTCTAGGTGTTAGTAAAAACGTACCCACCCAACGCTGCTGCACCACAGACAAGTCAAGGCACTGTAGTCTGGCATATATACATTGCCATATATACGCCACAGCTGGAGAAACACTGCTCTTTCCAGTGTGCTAAAAACGGGGTTTACCCGGGAGAACCATAATTTGACCACAGAAGCTCTGTGTTAATCTGCTTAACAGTACAATTCAGGACTAAAAGGGAGATTATCTGATCTATGAAGGCTTCGTGAATTATACATTCGGTGGACTAATGCCAAAACACTCATCTTTGCTACAGAAAAGCAAAAAGTTGAGCCTTCTGGCACTTGCATTTTTCTCTTCAGAAAGGGAATGGCTGCTTCAAGATCCATCCTGCTGCAAAGCTATTCTTTTAACTCAGAACACTCAGAGAACACTATCCTGCTTCTCCAGGCTCCAGAAGGCTGGCATTACAAAAATATCCCTTGATGCCAACCTCCAATGACACAGAGATCTGTAAGCAATACACTGCTTCCCTCTCACACATAAAAAAGGCTAAAATTGTGTCTTAAAAGAGACCGAGGCCCGCAGAGAAATGACTGTTACTGAAGATGAAATGCTGCCAGGACCATTGTATATGTTTACTTCACAGCAAAACAACAATTCCTCACCCCCAGCAAAGCTCCTCCAACCATGAAAAAAAACCCACAAATATTCCCAATGAGTGTTTGAATGTTAAACACGCAAAAAAGGTGGGAAACACAGGCGTGTGTTGCTAGCGCAATTTAAGGTCATTTCTCCAATGCACCTGTGTTAATGTGTAGCTTTTTTTTGTTGGTTTCTTTCAGGCTTGTTTAGTATTTACTGTTCCAGGGCTCATGCCTCATTCAGATCAAAGGTTGCACAGAGCTCAGTTAACAAGGAGTCATCCAGTATCTCATCCAGAATCTTCTCTACTGAACCAACCCCTGGCTCTGAAGAAGGAACTGTTGAACCTCTGTATGGAGTGGGGGACACGATCATCCCTGCACTCAAACTCACAGCAACTTGACTGAGGGAAAGGAGAGGAGCTGCTCCATGCCACTCAACAAGCAGCCCAGGCAGAGCACAGGGCTGGGCAGCATCAGGGAAAGCCAGGTCTGCGGCAGGCCTTTATCCCTTCCAGCCATCCCTTGTTGCTCCTTGTCTGCCCTCCATTTGTCTCCATTTTTAAGGGAACGGTGTTTTTGGGGGGGTTGTGTGTGCTTTATTTTCCCTCCTCAAAGCAAACACAAATGTCACCACCAGGTGACAACATGAACACTGAGCATGCAGCCCCCATACGTCTGTCAAATTCCAGGTTACTGCTCCACAGCCTCAAGCACCAAGGCTTTACAGCAGAATCCCCTAGGTGATCATTCTTACTCTTATTATCAGGGAGCAAAACTACCTATTTTCCTTAGCTGCCCCTTTGGAAACAACAAGCCTTGTTTTAGCTAAAATCTAATCCGACGCAGATACCAAACAGGGAAAGTTTAAGGCCAAAATCTTAAAAAAATCACAAGCAATTGAAAACAGTCATGTTATTTACAGGAACTATACCCCAACCCGAACAGACAGCGCCGTCAGTTCTGCTAATAATTAAAAGGCAGCAATCTATTACATTATTTTTAGTTGTGCCCTCACGCTCCTGCACACAGGGGTCTTAAAATATCCGTGTGTCTGGGAAAAGTCTTCTTCCGTGTCAGCACTTGGATGCTGTCCCACGGGATAAATTTGCCACACACACACATAGCGAGCACCGAAACGCTGTTAACTCCTTGCTTCTATAAATCAAACACACGGAAACTGCCTGTGTGATGGGTTTAACTGCGCTCCCCCTGTAGATGTGCTGCATCCCCAGGCTAACAAAGCTGAAATTCAGGCTTCTCCAACGGCACGCTCTGCAGCTTCTGGGAGGTCCGAGTGAAAGGCTGCATGAGTTGGGGAGGTACGTCACAGCGAGCCTTTGGACACTTGCAAGTGCTGGCAATGGGAACGCTGGAAAACTAAAACAAACAAACCACTGAAATAGACTTCCTAACAAAGAAACCCTACCTGGCGCCCCGAGACCGAACGTCTGCTGCAAGGAGCGTGTCAGGAGGGAGGGAAGGGAAACTTCTCTGGCGACAGCAGCTCCCAGCAGCCTGGTGTGTGGGGCCAAGCCGAGCCCAGGGCTGGCACAGGCAGTGCACGATGGCCACCATCCAGAAGTACACGACTGACGTCAGCAGCTTGTGTAATCATCCTGCCTTCGCTCCAGTCCGTAAACAGCACTTTGGGGGGCAGGGGGAGCTTTCTTTAAATTGTTGCTTTCTCCTCACTGGAAACTTGTTTTCTGCTGTTTTTTTCACCCAGCTCTCAGTAGTTCTGTTTTCTCATACGACAGAACAGTGGAAATATTTGGAGAAATCTCCACCATAAATTAAACTGCAGCAACCCCAAAAGGTGTACGTCTGCTGTCTGACTCGTCTCCCTGAGCCCGAAGCCTATTTGTAAAGAAAGCCATGCTTTCTTGGAAATGAACCAGCACCAATAAAAGAGCCAGAAAAATATCGTGCTGCTTATGAAGTATTTCCCCCTTTCCTCACAGCTTTTTTACACTGTAAGTCTATCAACAGACTTTGTCTTCTGACAATACCTCAGCTGGGGCCAGCTGGCACAGCTCCATCCTTATCACTGGTGATCAGATCTCACCCTTAGAAAGCAAGCTCTACCTTCCGATGGGCTACAGCACCAGGACAGATGTTGTCTTTCTACATGCATGTCCCAGCAATCACCCTAGAGCAGTTTCTGTTTGAGCTTTATCCACAGCATTGGGATGCCCAAGTTTGGGCTGCAAAACAGCTGCAAAACTTGCATGCTGGCAAAGTGTTCTGCAGTGTTCACTTGATGTTGCCTAAGTGATACACAGAAAGCGAGATATTAAACGTAGAGCTTTCTTTCTTAAAGTAATTCTTGAATCACTTCTAATTAATCTCCAAAACAATCTCTGCAGGATGTACAGCAATACACCCTCATTTTCAGGAGAAGAAATGGATAGACACCTGTCATGTTTTACACAGGGACAGAATTGAGAGAATCTAAACTGGAGATGGGAACAGCTTCTCTCTTTTCTCAGTGAAAAACGCCTCAGTGTGTCTGGAAGTCTTCCCTTTCAGTCATTTTCTAGTTTTGTCATGTCTGAAATCTCTCTCTGCTTTCTCTTAAATTCATATTACCGCTCCTTCTCCTGTTCACACCAAACGTACACACAACAGTTATTTTTCCCATATTACCTGACAGCTTTTTAACTTCTCTGCTACAAAACTGACAAAGATCTAGATATGGATGAACAGAAACAATGACAGCTTTAAAAAGTATTACTGCAAAGTTCCAATCATACTGCTTCCCACTGCTTGCAAGGGAGGCATCGATCCTTAGAGCGGTGATGCATGCCCCCATCCTTGTTGATGTATTTCTCAAAATCATGAAAAAGAGTCTCCAAGATGAAGGCCAATTAGTTATGGAGTCAGACACCACGTACGTTACAACACAAGAAACCATCAAAGTGCTGGCTACTGCTCGAGTTGATGCCACGTGAGGAGAGAGCCTTTAAAAGCGTTGTGCCTACCTTGTTGATGTGCAGTTGTTGTTGCTGGAATTGCTGTTTGTGTTTCTCCAAGAACTGCTGGTGCTGCTGCTGGATCACTAACTGCTGGAGGGCTTGGGCGTTCTGGGGAAGGGGAGCAGACTGCGTGCGCCCCAGTGGGCGATGCTGCCGGAGTTTGTGTATTGAAGGGGAGACCCGTTCTCCACCAACCAGAGACTGTGCGTGGAGGGGCAGTCCTGAAAGATACCAGTCTGAAGATAATATGGAGGAAAAAACAGCAGAGAAGAAAAAAAGGAAGAAGAAAGGAAGGGAGAAAACGGCTGTTGAGTAACACTGATGGTGACAACAACATATAACGTTAAAACCAGCCACCTCACCATTTACAGCTGAAGTATCCTTAGAAGGGAACAGATAACCGTTAATGACCACTGGATGGAATAACACTTCTAAATTCTTTGCTTGCCTGTTTACTCAGAGACTCTGGACAGTATTTCATAAATTCAGCAATATCTTGCGGACTCTCCTATCACTCAGTGGATGACATCAATCAGATGCACAGTGATGGCTTTGAGGAGAAGCTGAAGTCTAACGACTTGCCTTGGTACAGCAAGTCACTCCAGGTTCATTTCTAGGACAGCACCAACCTTTGCTGCTGCCCTGCAGCACACAGCAGCTCTGCCTTAGAGAATGCTCTCAGATGTGCTGAAGGACGATGGCTGATGATGGAGCTGGTTCTCTCTCTAGATCATGTAGGGAAGCTCTTGGTGGTGCTATAACTGCTCTGTGGAAGTGACTAAGGATGTAGACATTCATGCGATGAACTGCTGACTGTGTTTGCTTTGGAAAAACATGAATGCATTTCAGGAATTCGAGAGCCAAGAGGTATCATTATTTCTTTAGAAATAAGTTAATTTAGAGGATAAAGTGTTAAAAAGATTTCCATCCCTGTCCTGTATATTCATGCTAGTAACTTAACTAAAACACAAGGCTATTTTTTGGGATGTCATGGGTTACTCATACGCCCTGGGCAATTTGGATGACTACCATGTGAAACCTATCTGAGCTCTTTTAAGGGCATACCTGCAGGAACTGTCTTCTTTTTTTTCTTGGTAAGCCAGTTCGTGCTCTGCTCTCGTAAGACATACCTTTACATGCTTCTTAGAAAGCACAAAGCCAAACCCAAGGGTGGAGTTGCTGAGGGTAAGCCTTTGGAAGCAAGCAACACCTTGGGACAGAAAGTCATAACTAGTGTGAATGGTCACCTCCCTGACGTGGATAAGGGTGTACCTGGTTTTGGGAAAAAAAGTACCTCATTGTATCAAACAGTAAAAACTGCTCGAATAGTAACATTGAGACCTGGTTCTAGGCTTGGAGAAGTTGAAAAAAAAAGGAAAGCTGCACAGAAGTCTGCAGCCAGCTGAATGAAGCAGTTCAGAAACACCTGCAAGCTTCTGGCCCAGGACAACGCCTCCTTGTCCCGTTAATTTACAGAACTGCCCTACATGGAGGAAACCAATTCATTTAGAGGCTTCTTTTCTTGGGCCAGTTTGCCCTTCACTTTTCTGAAGAGAATGGTTTAAAAGAGTATCTTATTTTATAACTGTGTGCATGCATGTATATACATACATAAATATACGTGTGTGTGAATATATGAATAATTTGAAAGGATGTGTCCATCTTCCTTACAGCAAAGTCCATGTTAGACAGTTGAGGAAGGGATCTTTCATGACTCTACAGGATATCTTGGAAGACTACTTGTCTCCAAGTGAACAACAAAGTCCTGCTGCGAAGGTTTCCGAGGGGGAGACATTGGTCCTGCTCAGTATATACATGTCAATCTGGCAGGGTGCAGGAGCAATGCCAGATCTGCTCTAGTGGGGGATACAATCATACTGCCTAGATTCTATTCCCACTTTCTATGCAAGGTAAACCACTTACCGTGCTCCAGCTAAAATCCAGAAATTAGATTTGCAAAACCCGTACCGAGCTCATAAAATCAGCACAGCACTGTCCAGCAGAGACTCTTAGTTTCCCCGAATCCCCACGTCTAACTGCACGGAGCCAGCATGCTGTGTGCTGGATAATTTTGCAGTAGTCAGGAGACTATCTCCACAGCTGAAGGCTACCAACAGAATACTAATAACTCCACTTTGTTTCCAAGGAAGTTGTAAGTACTAACTGTAGTCTGGCAAGCAGTCCACTTAGGGCTTTTGAGACCACGTGTTAGCTTGCTCTGTTTCAGCTGCTGCATCTGGAGCGTGTGCTTCTTGTTGCTGCTCTGCTGTACAGTGAATATTTCTCCTTGGTGTCAGTTTGTTACAAGTTGTACTTGCTCTAAAAACACCACACACTGCAGGTGGACTAGAAGGAATACACATAATAGACTGTAAACAGATGGAAGCTTTGAGAGAGGTGGAATAGGAAACAGAACAGCACTCCCTATGAGCTCTTTAATGCAAATACCTGTACGAATGGAGAAAAGTTTTGGTGATATGATAAGAGAAAAAGTCTTTTGCAATGACTCTTCATCAGCAGTCCTCAGTCAAAGAACAACTGGTGTCATGACTCTGGGCACAACATCACATCATAACAACTATGACGGAATGCAAGAGAAAATTACATTAAGGCTCAGGGAATCTGCACGCACCACTCTCACAGCTCGGAGGGTGCTGGTTTAACACCATACTCAGATTCTCCATATGTACGTGCTTATAAGCTTATCACAACCCCATGTATATTCCTGGAATTCGAATTTAAAACCAGACACGATTCAAATGCAGTGCTGTAATGTTTCAGCAATCAACATCTCTCAGTAGTTTCAGAGAAACACAGGATCTTTTGTCTTGGAAAGGACCTTCATAGCCCACCCAGCCCCAACCCCTGCTACAGGCAGGGACACCTTCAAGCTGCCCAAAGCCCCATCCAGCCTGGCCCTGAGCACTGCCATGGATGGGGCAGCCACAGCTTTTCTGGGCAGTCTCTGTCAGGGCCTCACCACCCAAGAAATTTTCCATTAGAAATGGAATGAAAAAATCAAAAATCAACACGTCTGTTAACTTAAGCAGAAAATCCTTTGTCCCAATACAACTGTAAAACAGAAACGAGTCCTACTGGGAAATATTGCTTTGAATCAACCCTATTTATAGAAATACGCCTTCCCACAGGTACTTAATGCTGAAAACATGACACAGGGAGTGATTCAAAGCAATTAGCATACTGCAAATGTAACATATACAAACAAATACAATCTGTTTGAACGCAGTTGGTTTTGCCACGTTTTTGCCATTTGTAATAATGATAAAAAGCCAGTATTTTAATCTGTGATTTTGTAAATGAGTGCTTCTGTTAGACATGGAACAGAAACCATCAGTGATAAACAGGAAGGGTAATCACAAGACACAGCATTTTTGTTGCCTCTTCACAGTGGCTAGAACGATATTCTTACAGTTGTTACGCGCATAAGAAAAGCAGAAATAGCAAGTTAATGCTATTTAATTTCCTTTTGCCAAACTGACAAGGCATCTTCCTCCTGCCTCTGGATGGTGTGGTTACCCTAGCTGGAAATGTATTCACTGTACACACTGGAAAGCCTACAAATTTGTAAGTTAAACCAACAAAACACATAGACAACGGTCAAGACCCTGCATGTCAGGCTCTGCACATTATCTACCACGTGCTCACCTGTGACTAAGGGAGTTTGTGCAGTTGGCTGTTCCAGTAAGACCATGTGCTGCAGAAGAGGGTTGTGTGCTGTTCCCCCATCTCTTTCCAACGTTGTAGTGCTCAAGTAGGGAGTGAGGTGGGTGCCAGGAAATAAAGAGATGCGCTGCTGCAAGGCTGGGATAGCAAGTCTCTCAGCATCCTGCTGTGCTGATCCTCCCTGCGAACGCACAGGCGGTGTCAGGGTGGGTTAAAGGAGAAACGAAGCACCAATGCAAAGCCCGTGTTCCCCATCACTTACGCTGGAAGGGCCAGTGGCAGGCAGTCCTAGTGTGATGTTGGGCAAAGAAGGAGATGTGTAGAGTGGAAGCTGTGTTACAGAGCCTTCACGATTCACCAGTCGGTGAGCCAGGCTGGTCTGCAAACAAAATGAAGAACACTGTCCCAGTGAGACTGCACCACCGATGGGGGGGAGGACACTGCACAGGAGCTGAGGGCCCATCAGGAGAGTACAGAGCAGGAAATGTCACTTCTGACATTGAGGATACTGAAAGAGGGAGCTTCAGATCCAGCCTTACTTCTCTTTCTATAGAGTGTTTGCCCTTCTAAAGCCACAACAGATTACCGTAACAATAAAACAGGCATTACTCTGGTGGTTGTTCTCTTTAGCAAATCACAGACAATTTATTCTATTTACCAGTGTGCTTTAGCTTAAATCAGACTTCAAAATTTCATCAAAGAGCCTTTTTATGTTGCTATTCCCCGATTTTCAGGATGAAATGTGAGATTTACTGAATTACCTTGCGGCCATTTAAAGCAGGAACACTTAAGCAGAAATGCCTAATTACAAAATGAGATTGATTTGAAATAGTTGGTAGAAAGCCCATTATAAAAATTACATTATTTTAAACCGCCTGATTTTTCTATTAAGCAACGCGTGTTCCGTTCACTTAAATCAACTTCAGTAGAACTTAAATAAACAGCTTAAATCAAACAGCCTTTAGACTTCGGGAAGATTTTCCATGGAATTTCTATCATTTTATCTCAGTTGTTGCTGTGGAAAAAAAGCAATAATGATTAATCTGGTATGTTACAATGACATACATTATTCCCACAGTGTTAGAGATCTGGATAACGGATTTATACATTTCAGACCTAAATAGTTATGTCAGGAAATGGGACTTGGCAGGTTACTTCCTTGATTGCAAGACTGGGCCAGTCTCTGGGTAACAAAAACCTGTTTTTCTCCTCAAAAGGTGAAACGTGGTGAGTAACATCACTGCAGCGACCACCAGGGGGGAAAAAAAGAGCACTAAAATAAGAAAAAATACTGAAAAACAAATAATGCACAGCAACCTTCAGAAGCAGTCCTGCCTCCTTGGCTCACAGAGATTCTGGTGGGCCAGCTGATATCTCCAATAGGAGAGCCCAACTCTGTGAGCTGGGGTTAGAGATGCCCATGCAGGAAGAGCAAACCTTCCCACGACTGCGTGAGTTCACCTTTATGTGATGCTGGGCTGGGCTTGCAGATGCCCAGGTCTGAATTCCATACATCCAAAGCAAAGCTGCTTAGCTTTCATACGATACTGTGCAAAATTTCACCTGCAGAGTGAATTTTTTATTTCCCTTTGTCTTATTGTGCCTTCATTAATGTCAGTCAAGCTTATGGGAAATACATTAAAAAGTAAATCTGCTTTTAAGATCTCGGTTACAAATTTGCTGCCACAAAGGAGGAAATTGGAAAGGAGCATTTTGCTGTTGAATGGTACCTGCTAAGGGCGTATGGTTGTGCATACCCACACGCTCAATTTTTTGAGTAATTCTGAACACTACTGGCAATTTGCCTTTAATTTAAATAACACAAAATGTTAGCACGCCACGTTGAGAGCAAGATAGTTACTGCCAGCAGAGTAATGAAATATTTTACTGATACCGTAAACGAAATAAACCAACATCCATTTTCTCTTTGAACAATCGATAAAGTGCAGTTGCGCCTCAAACCATCTCCTGGGGATTTGTTTTAAAAACAACGATGAGAAAAACAGCAGCTTGACACTATAAGCACAAGATATTTAGCAGCATTATCATCACTTTAAATATACAAATCCCATCTCTGGATTGTACACAAACAATGTTAGAATTGCACAGAAGAGAGCAATTTCAGCATGCACAATTTTCCCCTGCAATCGAATACTTTTTATAGGCTCCTACCAGCTACGATGGCAATGAGTATCACGTACCTTTCCAAGGCAAAGAAAAAAACTTCAGACCTAAAAAACATTATTTAAAAATAGGCATTGTCTTTTTTAAAGGAGGCAGAGAGCTTGAGTCTTTCTATTTGGAAGGCAAGCACTTGAAACTGCCAATGAAGTCCATATGAAGTAATGAAGTCCAATACCACATTCCAGCATACCTGGAATGGTTCAAGAGGTGACCTAGCAAACCAACAAGCAGAGGGGCACACTTCTCACTTAAAATTAGAAAATACAGGTAAGCATAGAACAGAAGGCTGCCAACACTAATTTTTCAGAGGCATTTCAACAAATATTCTACTCAAAAGTGGAAACATAATGCAAGCCTGGTCAGCTGGTATCAAATAAATCTTATTCTCCTAGGCTGCTAGGGAGTATTTCTTACACCTAAGAGGATTCGAAAGAAACCAAAACCCTGCCACATCCAGTTCTTCCCAGATAAACCTCTCCAGGCAAAAGGATCACGCAATACAAAACGCAGGGCCATTTTCCCCCAAACTGATGCCAGGAACTGGGACATTTAGCTAAGCCATTCAAGTATGCCTGAAATGCTGGGAGAACAATTTGTGCGATGGGTTATCGACGTCCTGTTTGCCATCACACATTGATTTATACTTTATTCTGTTCTATGATGGCAGTGATCCAATACACTTTATGCAGTCCTGGTCAGCTTTTACATTAGAACTGCACAATCTTTCGTATGCTATATATTCATTATTAAAAAAAAAAAAAAAAGGAAAAAAAAAGGAAAAGGTGAAAACACCCCATGCATTCTCTTCAGGGAGATTAACAACTACATTTTCTTCCTGCTTTTTGTATAAGAAAATGATACATGACATGTTGTTCTTTTAAAAATTTTAGCTCAAGGTGCTTCCTTCCTCCCATGCAGTGGTATTGATGTGAATTAGCCACTGCAATACAGCTGCAAAAAGAGGGGAAGGGAAGGTGGTGGCCTTTGATGCTCAAAGGCTTGCAGTTTGCTAAGTATAGATAAGATTGACAGCTCCTGCATCAGCAAAGCTGGTAGATGAGCACTCATATCCTCCTGGGGCTAACAGCTACAAACCTAGGAAGTGCCTGCAGGTCAGCCAGCCTTCAGTTTCACAAACCCAACCAACAATCCCACTCCTAACATCTTTTCTGAGATCTGCTCCAAATTACTAAACAGAGTGCATCTAAAAAACCACATTTTGTCAGAACACCCCCAGTTTCCAGGGCCAAGCTAAGATTAACTTAGACTGCTCAGCCTTCACAGTACTCGACTTAATCCTTTAAGATCTGCAGTAGAGTGGATGAAGACAAGTTTTGGATAACTCGGCAGGGGAGAATAAAGAGTGGGATGCATATTCCCCATGTAAAATCATAGAATCACTCAGGTTGGAAAAGATCTTAAAGACCATCAAGTCCAACCATGACCTAACCATATTACCCTAACTCTTAACAACCCTCCTCTGTATCACGTCCCTGAGCACCACATCCAGGGATGGTGGCTCAACCACCTCCCCACTACATCAGCAATAAAAATAAAAGGAAAATTTGTAAGGCAGATGCTATATTCATTAGGGAGAACAACTGAGGGCAAGCTGGATAAAAAGAAATGCCCCAATGGCGTGACACAGCCACCCTGGTTTTCTAAGGCCTGCAGTGAGGGCTAGTTAACATGGCCTATAATATGCCTTTAGGAAAAGGTGGGCTTCAGTAAGACCAAACACAGTGCTATGTTGAAATCCAGCCCTTCTACCCAGTCCAACACCCTGCTCCTAACAGCAGATGCCTCAAGTGATGGTGGGAGCTTATGGGATTGCAAACCTTAGCACAAGGTATCTGGCAACATGCTTTCAACCCTAAATGGGGAAGAAAAAGTTCAATCTGTTTAATCCAGCTCTGCTTTGGCCATACTCATAGCAACCTCCTGTGAGCAAGATCACCCTGCATACAATATACGAGAACAGATTGCCCGATATGTTAAAACCCTTGTGCTTGACCAGGAAATGCTCGTCGTGTTTTACCTTGTCAAATCACTCTATTTTTACTCTCCACTCAGAATAAAACCAGCACAAGTCACCACAGGCAGCTCCTGAGCTGGTTCAAACTGGATTTAATAAACAGGTAATGCATCCTGTCAGCCTAGCCCGAGAGGTAATTCCCCAAGTCTGCTCCAAGTCATGATCTGGGGTTTGCCGTGTTCCACACGCCCGTCTGTGTGCCCCAACACCTAAACCTCTGTGCAATCTGATCAGAAACCCAAGTGTTAAACTCAGAGAAAGGAAGGGCTCTGTACCTCCGCCTGAATACTCGTGACTGATCCTGTAATTCCATTCTCAGTGCTGATGTTATTGGAGCTGTTGTTTGGAGAGCTGGGACCAGATCCAGGAGCACTGTTGCATGCAGAGTCTAAAACACATCCAAGACCAACTTTTAGCATGACAAGCAATCTCTGAGATGATATTCAGACAGATAACAATCCCTCAAGTTTTGTTTGGGAGGAAGACAACCCTCCTCCCCATCTCCTCCTTAAATTTTCACAGGGCTCTTAAAACACCGATACACACTTTCAAATGGCCTCTCCAAGCACCTACTTACCTTATTTATGTATTCTCCTCATGGGGATTTCTCTTTAAGAGAGCATTCGTGACTTTAAATACAATTGGAAGATGATAAAAGACACGGAAAGCTTGCAGAGGCCAAACAGCAGTTATGTGGGATTGTTCTGCATCATTTTTCCAGAACGTTTCTTTAAACCTCATCAGCCTCCCAACTCCTCGTCAGCACGAATTGTGCAGGACTTTGCACTTGCCTCAAAGGGAACCATTTCAGTAGGGATGTTTCAAAGAAAGCCAGGTGAAACTCCACTGGATTTAAGAGACTAAACCCGCTTCAAAACACTGCCTTCTTGTTTGGCAAGTCTTCTCCACTCTGAGAGCAAACCACTTTCTCACTGGAAGACCTAAAGCAAAATTAATGCCCCCGGATAATTCTGTTATCATCAGGACTTGCAGAAAATCCTCTCACCTCGCTATGTTTTATCAACACACTCCCTGTGAACTCGCCAGCCAGAACCACAGAGATGGCTTGAAATCAAAGCCTCCCCTTAATTACGTAGAACTAACAACAAACAAAACCAGAATATGGAATTGCAACAGCCAGAAAACTTCCCTCCTCATGTCTCTCACCCTGTGCATGGCACAGCTTCCAGTGTTTCTCCTTTTTTTTTTTTTGTAAGTAAATAAAATTAAAACATTTTTTTTTCTGAGCTTTCCTCTACCCTCAGGCACAGGATTTGCCCAACATCAGAAGAATCTCCCAGCAGCTGCAAGGGTTCAGGCTGCAGCAGTCTCATAACTGCTCTACGATGCCCCAGAAGAAATAAAAGCCAACTGTTACAACTACTTTTAGTTACTTTTATTATTATTATTGCTATTTTGATCACTGCAAGGACCTCCAACAAATTATCGGAGATGTCTGGTTGGCTTTTTTTTTCTCTCTCTGCATTTAGCAGGCTTCTCATTATCAAGAGCTCAGCAATGAGTAACACCAAATTGAACAGCTGACGTTGAACTTCTCTATGAAAAAAAACATTCTGACTGCATGCAGAACAGTCTTTTGGTGGGGTTTTTTTGGTACCATGTCATTGCCAACAATATAATAGATTTCATGTATACTATCTAGACGTAGGAAAACTACTACATTCAAACTTTGACTCCATGAATATGTGTTCTTCAAGGATTAGAAGTGATTTCTTACCCTTGCAGAGGGACTGTTAAAAGTGATGTTACACTCAGAAGTCTGCTCTTACCATAACTGCTCCAACAGACATTTGAACCCCCTTCATTCACATCTGTGCACCCAGAGCCAGCACCAAGCACAGCTCTGCTCCTGCTCAGCTTTGCTCAGATATTTCTCCAGGCAGACTCCAGGCTGCCTTCCAGAACCACGTCTGTGCCCAGAGAGAAGCAGGAGCTTCCACTGCTATCTCTGAGGGCATCACTTGGATCACACAGCCAGACACTGGGGCCTGATTTATCCTAAAAGCTATGTGACACATAACAAGATATGAGAGGTAAATTCAGTTTTCAGATCTAATACAAATTATACATAGCTCTTGAAACCCATTTCCTTTACAAGCTGCGAGGTGCTGACACAGAGCCCCAGGACCACCTGAAACCTAAAGAGCGCTCACTTGGAGTTTGGGTGAGTCATGATAGCGTGCCTTAAAACCCAGATGAAAGAAAAAAGCAGTCACATTACTGCTTTACACACTCTGTATTACACAGAGGCATCCCTAGATGGTGCTAAGAATTAACTTTACAGTGATCTATCCAAACCAGTTTATTCAGAGCCCTCTTTACAAATTTCACTCTCAGAAGAATACTATTTTTCAACAAGGAACTGTAAATACGCAGTCAAAAATACCAGCTATATATATACTAAGTAAAAAAGCCTTAAATGTTTTAAACTGCAACATAATTACTTAACAAGGAAAAATGGCAATCTTCCCAAATCCAAAAACATCCCAAAGTTGTAAAGCATTTACTGCTGGACAAAGACAGCTATGAGTTATGGCCTCCCCATGTATATTAGGAGAATCACCTTTGAGAAATTTTATTTCTCAACCACCAGTTGCCGAAGATCAGAGAAATGCTCAGGAAAAAAACAGCAGTCCTATGGCACATCTGTATCTGTCTACGTATGTTAAATGTAGCTCAAAAAAAAGGTCACTGTGCTGGCAATGCTGTCTCTAGATGGGTATCTGAGAACTTGTGTTGCTGGCACACACCTGCATCACCCACTAGTGAACTATTATAGAATCACAGAATGGCTTGGGTTGGAAGGGACCCCAAAGCCCATCCTGCCCCTGCTATGGGCAGGGACACCTCCCACAGACCAGGCTGCCCATAGCCTCATCCAGCCCGGCCCTGAGCACTGCCAGGAATGGGGCACCCACAGCTTCTCTGGACAGCTGCACCAGGCCCTCACCACCTTCACTGTGAACAATTTCTTCCTAATATCTAATGTAAATCTCCCCTCCTTTCAGTTAAAACCATCACCCCTTGCCCCGTCGCCATACTCTTCTCCAACATTAAGACCCACACGAGATCCAGACTGCAAAATCAGCCAGATGCAAGAACAGCTTTTGGAAAGGGACGCCTCCAGTGAGTTTGCAGCTTTTGTTGTTGGCCCAACGCACCTGTGACATCCAGCGGGCGCTTCTTCAGAGCAGTGACCACCGGCCCGTCCTTCCTGCGCAACAGGGGGCTGCTCCGTCGTTCAGCGACTTTTTGCTTTAGCCTGGATCGTAATTTCAGGTTGGGTTCAGAGGCTGAACAAAAGGAGGAAGAGCAAACGGTGTTTTAGTCAGTATTATTTCAGTAGCTGTGTTACTCAGTGCGAAAGCTAGGTTGCAGTTCAGCATCGGCAGAGCCTAAAGAAAAATAGTTATTTCATACTGTGTATCCGGAGCAGTGACTTCTAAATATAATGAATGGTTTCCCGCCTATGCAGTATCTGAATTCACTGATAATGAAAGTCAATACTGTTTTAATTAAAAATAATAACCGTCCTGCAGCATTGGCTCTCCAGCGCCTTACAATCTGCTGTGAACTCATTTGGACCAGACCAGAGAGCATCAATTCACCTCCCCCGTTTCCTGCTACTGCTCAACTTTCTCCCAGGCCAGAGGTGGAACCTAAATTAACGAGATCTAAAAATCAACACAGGGATAGGCGAGACAGCTGAGATGTTGCTGCTTGGTCAGCAGGTAGCAACACTGTGGGGCTGGGAGGCTGCCTGCTATGGCTTGGTGCAATGGGCAGCCCCACACCCTTGGAGTCATCAGACCGTGATGAGAGCTGGCCCTGGGAGGGACAGCGGGAGAGACGGAGGGGAGAAAACACAAATCAAATCCCACAACAAAAAACACAAACATTTTCTCACTGGTTCAGCTCCCCAGAGCACCTCACACCGGGATGCAACGAGCACCAGCAGCAACTGGAGAAAAAGGGCATGGGAGTGCGGCCAGTGGCAAAGCCAAGGGCAGGGAGGAGGAGGTTTATTTATTTGGAGAGATACTTGATTACATCATCTCGGTCACAGAGTAACACCGTATCTAGAAAACACATCAAATACTTGGAAAACTCAGGGCTGCCCAGAGTGGGTGTGCATCTGTTTGCTGAGACCACAGTCTGACTTGCTTTGTGTACATCACACAGCTGAAATATCCTCTTAAATAAATACTCCTGTACCCAAATCCCGGGATTTCATTTCTCTGAAAGTCAAAGCAGAACTGCTGGGATCCCCTAATACCTCTGGGCTAATGGCAGCTGGCAACACCAAGCACCTTTGTACTGCGCAGCTTATCAGGTTCTTACAAAGGTAATGAAGCCTTAAGTCAAGATTCCTCCTGCGAGATGATTTTCTCTGTAAACTTTGCAACCTCCGGAGCGTATACAAAATATCTGCTTTGGTGCTTGAGGGCTCCTGACAGTTATGAGATTTGTGAACTGGCCCAATCTTTTCCATTCCTCAATCTCTTAACAACTCGGCGGCTTAATCCCTTTGAACCAGCAAATCCTGTGCTCTTGCCATTAACTACCAACGCACTCAGCTCCCTGCACTCCCAGGCCAATAATCTGCATTTCTTTAGAAGACTTAAAATGGGGTTTACAAACTGATTTGAATTAACTAAGTCTGGCTGCGGATGTATTTCCCTACAATTGGCTTTGACCACCAGGTCATGTAAAAGATCAAGACCAACCGTGTTAATTGCAGGGCTCAAAAATCAGAAGCTGATGAATTCAAGATCAAATGCTTTAAGTTAAGCCATCAAAACAGTTCTTTGATGAAACTTTGGGAAGGGGAAAAAAAAGAGCTTTTCATGACTGTTTGGGACAGAAAAATGCCAGTAAGAGATAAAGGAAGCGCTAAAAAAAAGTGTCACTCATCAAGACGATGCTTAAAATGCAGTATGAAGTGCATTAGCAAAGGAGAGAATCATCTTATAGAATATTTGCATATACAATGGCAGGAGGCTGAATGCAAATCTGTCATTTGCTTGGAGGACAAAATTAGAGGAGTGGACTAGATACAGTACAAGCGAGTGCTCTGACTAGTTCCTGCATGAAATTCTCCTCAAAGCTGAAGTTGGCCTTAGTATTTTTAAAGTTGTCTTTGGACATGAAGGAGTTCAGTGTCTCAGGCTACGTGCTTCAAAGTTGTTGCAAGTATCATTGATTAGTAACCATCGAGATGCTACTATCGAGATCTTAAAGAATAAATGGGAATGTGTCACAGCTAGATGCTGATCCATTCCATTTTAGACACATTTACACTGCCAGCTAGTAAATGAAATATAAGCCCGTGCCACAGCTGTTGCAAGGATCTATCTTCTGACAAAGAAAAACATGACAATATAAACTGTACTTTGGTGTAAATTTCATTCACACACGATTTATATTGTGCATGGCATTCATCTGACGTACGTCTGCTGCTGGGAACAGATGAGTAATTGTATGATTCTCAAGCACAGAGAATGAATGGATTGGAAACACCTTAAAAAACGTCAGGAAGGACGGATCTGGGGATCACAGTTTACCAAGCATTACCAGATATGCCCCCTGCATGCAGCCACAACAGAAAATCCATCCGTGTAGAAGGAAGGGAACAAACATACAGCATTACAAACCTAAAAGAGAGAAGTTATGGCAAAAATGGCGTGTGATAATTTGCCAGACAGAAGCATTTTCGGGTTGAAGTATCCTGTGTACTCCTGCTTTGCTCCCCCAGATGGAGGATCAAATTCTGAAACACAAAATGTCTACTTAGGAACCACACTCGTTTAGATACAATCCCGGCCTTTGTTCCGTGATAGAACTCTGAGTTTTTCTCCTAAATATAATCCCAAATCTAACATGTCATCGAGACCTCAGAAAGCATAATCCCTACATGCCTTTAATTGGGTGTTATACAACCCAAAGCGAGGGAATTAAGGCTCAGCACCGGCAGTGCAGAACAGCCTCCAGTTCAAAGAATGTACATCTATCACATTTCATAACTAAAGAGTAAGTTTTCAAGAGGCTTTTCCAAAACTCAGAACAGTAATTTCAGCTTATTCACATGGCTTCTAAACCACTACAGTTTTTAAACCAAAGAGAGCTGTCCTTCAGAAGAATAAATTCTGAATTTAGGTGACATACGAATTTGAGCAATTCTATGATTCCATGCTGCTGTTAGGGTAGTATGGCTATGCTGTGGTTGGATTTGATGACCTTTAAGGTCTTTTCCAATTCTATGACACACAACTATCAATACCAGTAAACTCAATTTTCAATAACCCCAGTTCCACTGAGGACCTCTTGAGGCTCATCCTTCAGGCTTCACATCCAAAGTGTTGTTCCCAGTGACTGCTAACGAGTGTAACGTGGAGAACTTTCAATTGAAACCCAAAACATACTGGTCTTTTACAGCTTCAGGTGGTGAAGTATTTTAAACAAACGTTGTGAATTTATTAAGAAATCAGTTTGATTCCTGCTTAGCAAAGAAATGAAGCACAGGGCCAAGTCTGAGTCAGCTTCAGAGAAGCCAGTGGGATTTCTTAAGCAGTGACATACTTAATTTGGCCCATAATAGGGGTTTATTCAAAGAATATTTTGTTTTTCTCTGAGTAAATTAATAATTAGAACACAGGCCAAAAGCTTCCTTAGTTTTCACAGACTCAAACCCAAGTTACCCCTCTTTTACTTCACTTACTGCAGCAGGACTCATGTAATCCAATTCTCCAACATTTATGTCACTCTCATTGTTTTCTTCCTGGAACTGCATCCACTAAGCTGCTGAACTAATCTGACATTAAGTCTCTGCAAGTTAAAAACACAAAATCCTGGGCAGAGTTTGCCCTGTTCCCATTACACATCTACGAAAAAAGCAAACAATGCACCGTGAAAACTCTAATTCCAGTCCTCGCATATCTTAATTTTGGAGGCTGGGATTGAGAAAGGCTATTCTTTTTTTTTTTAAACCACATTCCAAGCCACAGCAGTCAGGCAAAGGCCAGCGCAATTACCTTGTCACTTTATTCTAGAGTCCAGGTTACCCCATGGCTAAACAAAGGAGAGGAACAGAGAAACCCATCTGAAGCAGGCCTTTTGCACAACACGGAGTCTTAATGAAGACAAATGATCTTTTGTTTAGGTAGGAGGGACCACAGGTTGTGCAATTTAGAGTCTGCCTCTCCTCCCCAAAAATACTGGATCAGCCTCAGCTGGTCAGAAGGACCTGGTAAAGCTGGCAGTGGCAAAATTCACCAGTGGCCGAGCAAAAGGCTTCAACAGCCACAGGACTGTTTCACCATGATCCCTCTGGAGCACAAGGATGCTCACATTCTTGACTTCCAATCCCTGCAGACATCGGTATGGAGGAGAAGCATCTGACCCTTGACAAACATACCCAGAGGAGAGAGGTACCACAGGGCACAAACAGCAGCAGCAAATTCCTGAACTAGAAAGGAAAATGAGAACAAGAAGACCTGGATCTTCTGCAGAAACAAACTCAATTTTTCGTGTGCTAGGTACCATGCTAGGGAGCATGACCTGAAAGAGTCCATCTTGGAATGCAGATGCATTAGAAGGGCTAGAGATGATATTTGCAGAGTTTTCTCTTGTGTGCTGGCACAAGCACTGTTTAAGAGCTTTGTGAACAGACTATTTTGTCTATTTGTGGAAGGTTGTGTCCTTAAAATGAAAACTTATTGAAGGCTAATACTTGGCATTTCTTCATGCTGAAGCTTAGCAGTTTCAGCATATAAACAGCACAAAGGAGGCTTCATTAAGCTGAGCACACAACGTTCACACTTTTTTACAGCTTCACTATCATTTGCCTGACTATAGAACCGTGCAGAAAGGCAGCGTCGCAGAGTGCCGCAAAGGTTTCCACTGTGAACAGCCAAAACTGGACTAGAAAAACAAACACATGGAAATGCCACATCTTGTTTCTGCCTTCCCCTTTCCAAGTCTAAATAAAGACAGCAACTTTGCAGCATTTGATGTGTTATCTGGAAGGAAAGATAAGAGATGTGGAAGGAAATAAGGAAGAGAAAGAAGGAAGAAAATGAAGTCCAGCGTACGAGTTTCTCCAGTAAGGTGTTTAACACAGCACTGAGCTCTGCAGGAGGGAAGGAGACAAACATGGAATTTCCGTACAGACACAAAAAGCTGCAGTGCTTGTCCACAGAGAGCCCTGATTGACTCGGCACGAGGGCAGGGAGCAGCTCCAAGCAGCAGAGATGGCAATAGAGGACCACAGCTGCTGGCAGCCCAACGCCATTTG